CCACAGCCTCTGTCCATGAAGGTTTCATCAAGGTTACAACAGTACAGGTGTTGCCTTAATTCCTCCAGTGACAACAGTTTTACCTTGTGATTTAGTTGGGTTGCAAGGGCAGAGAACTGGTTTTGTCATCAGAATCTCTAAGTTCATTTATTGCTTCTGAAAGCATTAAGGCAAATTACATGTAATCAAGGGTCTTCTTGAAGTTTACACATTTATGCAAAAGTGTAAAGAATGATTTCTGTATATAATAAAATTCTAAAACTACAGTTACATTATTCATCAAATAAACTGAACTTTATATTGCTTACAGCAACAGAATGCTTCAATGAACATTCAATAGGCAATTGAAGGCTGTGCACCTATTAAAGCATCCTAAGATGTGCTTTTCCCTGTCAGTTGCACTGACTGAGCAAGAGGAAATAAAAATGCAACTCCCCTCTTCCTCAGGTTCCTTGGTTTCCCATGCAGTCAGAGAGAAGCAGACAGCCCATCTTCCAAATTCAGGAGCTATGTATTCACCTACTCTGTACATGATGCAAGCGTGTAAACCAAAGCTGCTTCTACAATCTCTTTTAAAAGTATGTAAAAATACATTCTTTTACTCTGAACCTGTGTAGGGTTCATCAGGAGTTCTAACACTGAGTTGTCATTACTTCTCCTGTGTATTCAATAAGCATCTTTAGCTGTAACTGGCATTTCTCTTGAGTATTGCGATCATGAAGATTGTCATGTATTTTAAAACTAACAGGAGTGACATATTCGCAATGCAATGGTGGCAGAAGAGAATTTTTTGGGGGTTTTGTCACTAATGCTTCCAGCAAGGAGAAATGCTTTGTCCAGTAAGAACAAAGAAAACGCTTGAAATGGAATATTTCTGCTTAAAGAGTTAGTTTCATGCTTATTTAACTATCTGAATTTATGTAACACTTTCAGTGGTTCACCCTCAAATTATTCATAGAGAAATTGTCACCCATCTCTAATGATGGCTCCAGAAAAGTATTTGCACACTCCATTTAGTATTATTTCTCCAGTTTGACAAATGATTGGGGAAACCTATTGATTTGTAAATTACAAAAGAATTATGTTAAAATGAAATTTTTACCAATTCCTAAGTTTACTGAATATTTAGGTAGATTTTTTTTTTTTGTCATGATCAAAACCAATAGGTAATACCTTAAAATACAGTTTCTGAAATTATGTTCAGTTCTGGAAGGTTGTTATTATTATAATGTACTTCACCTGTGGTTTCCAGAGTTGGACTTTTTTTTTGCAACAAAAATTTAATAACTTTAATTGTCTGGAATTTAAACTACTATCAAATATGAAAACATATAAAAAAGGGTGACTGCCGGTAACTCAGAGCAAAATATCCCAATATTAAGCCATATTCAGAGACCATGCACTTAGAACACATTGATACCAAAAGTCACCATGGACTATTAGTAGCATTAAAAAGCTGCCATAAACAGCAAATAACACCGAAAGTACTGGAATATTTTTAAGCGTGCTTGTAAGGAAAGAAATATTTTTACTTTGAATTTCACCTGTAAGAATTCCTGCACTCTGAAATTACTCTGTTGTTCCCAAAGTGCTCTGGTCTCCCCCAGGCTCCCCAGAGATGACAAGCCCTGCCCTGGTATAAGAAGGGTCTGGGCTGAGAAGAGAGAAGTCCTTGCTCATGGGCAGACCTCTTTGCTTCTGCTTAGGACTCCTGAGAAGCAGAGTCAGAGAATCATCATCCCACAGCAGCTCCTGCTGCTTGCTGCCACGGGTCACCCAGATTCAGAAAGACCTGACCCTTTCCCTGCTCTACAGTGGAAAACAGCTTGAGGTTGCTTATGCAGTGTCTATGAAGCTTGTGTAAAGGCTCCTGAGGATACACAGCAAGAGAATACAGTGACACAGGACTGCCATGCAAAGACACTGGAATTTTTCAGCCAATTGCTTTTACCTTTAGCATTAAAACCATTCAAAAGAACATTTACTCAGAAAAAAATTCTCAGGATGGCATTTCTGGCAGAAGAGGTTGGTCTGCCCCCAAGTGACTTCATGTTTAGACAATGGTCTTCATTCTAAACTCAGGTCTGCCCCATCTGGAACAGATTTCAACTCTTATGAGCTTTTTCAAGATAGGTATATTTCCACACTTTCTGGTGGAGCTAAGCTATTTAAATGCCTGCGGAATTGAATTCACATATTGAGAAAAAAAAATGTTAGGGAGTTGGGAAATATCATGACCAAGCATGAATTTTTATGTCTAGAATTCACAGCTTAGAAATATTTATAAAACACTAGCACTGACAACATAAGTTAACTGATGGAAGCACAGAGTTCTTTTATCCTTTTCATACAATCCTTATTTAGACTGTCATAATTTCATCTTCCTTATATTCCCCAGCCACAAACTTTTCACTTGTTTCAGGATATCTTAAATCACACAGAAAACAGTATTACTGGATAACATTTTATCAAAACCCTTGCTTTGTCAGGTTAAAATCTTGATCTCCTCATAAATAATGTTATCAAAGTAATCACACTTTGTTCACCTTTACCTCTCAGGAAGGTTCAGTGAATCTGTCAGAAAATGTTATTGTAAGAGTCATGGTTAGTGAAGATATTCCAGAGACAGGCAGATTCAATTTTCCATTTTTTGGAGACATCAGACAGTTTAAAGTAAACATTACTAAATTGTTGGTATTTCACAGATTTTCTGTCTGTCTTACATTCCTCACTAAATTCCTTTGAGTCTGGTAAGGGTCATTATTTTGTAGTCATGTTTGGAAAATGAAGGACATACAAAAAACATTCAGCACGTGAACTTCAGGCAGGTTGCTTTGATGGACTGAAATATCTACTTTTGCCTCCTTTTTAAACTAGCTGTTGCATTAATATATCATATTAATGCATATGTGTCTATTATAAGATCTCCAAGTCATTTAAGCAGATACTTACCATAAAAGTGCAGTCATACCAGACCGGTGGTAGAATTCTAAGAAAGGAAAGGTTCTGCTAACTCATCATATTTATAGCTTTACTCTCTCTCTATCAGAGAGTACAGATTAAATCTGACCTTTATGTACTACAGTAATGTTGGAAGAGCTTCAATTAACATGTGTTTGTCTTATGCAAATGTTGTTCAACAGCTTTTAATGATACTGCCAAGTATCATTACAATAATGTCTTTTGCTCATTTCACAATGATGGAGATGATTTTAGCTAGTAAAGTTAACTGGCATAAAATATAATGTGAAATATAGAGCTGAAGGAGCTGTGAAGCTAAATCAGAACACAGAACAGACAGATCTGATATTTTAAAAAATTACCCAATACCATACATGCCAAAACAGATCAAAATATCAATTGAAAATTAGGTAATTTTGTCTTCTATTGTCTCCTGTCTACAGAATTTCTTATTCCGTCTCACCAAGCCCTTTCCTATTGCCCTGCTCAGCAAATTTTTTATTGCTTTGCACTGAACATGCCACAGTTCCTTGTGAAGAGGCTATTTTTAGATAAAGAAGAATGTTTTGTTATTATAAATCAACAAATAACTGTCTTCTCACACTCTAGTACTGTCTCAGCCAGAAAAGGAGACATTAAAGTTCAGTGTTAGTAACGGTGTGTTTTGCCAATTGACGGGGTTAACACAAAGGACACAGACACCAAGCTAAAGAAATAGGCTTATTTTACTTTAGTAGAAATAGAAATTTTACTATAGTAGAAATAGCAGAAAGAATAAGCAAGGTAATGCACCTAGACATTACTATTTAAAGCTAGCTATAGTGATTAAGAAAGATACATCACCAATTGCCCTCATACTTTACCATCATCCAGACCCGTGCATCAGCTGGGGAGCCCCGTCACAGCGAAGGGTCGGAGAGCCTTTCCCGGCAATTGGGAAGTCCTACGCAGTGCGTCCACTCGTAGGTGAGGTCTCCGTCTTTGCTGTGAGAGGGTCCAGCTTTTATACAGTTTAACAAACAAGTCTAAACAAAACGCACAGGAGATATCTGGTAGATTGATATGCCTCACTCAGGCATGTCCGGATCTGGCCAGGATCCGGGCATGTCTGAGGAGTTTCTGTTTTTCTTTACATTTGGGATTTATAGTTACTTCCTATTGTTTACTTATAGTTCCCAAGGATTGTTCCCAGGGTTACATTTTCATGCTGATAAGATACTGGTTGCTTCAGTCTGCTGATAAGATGCTGATTGCTGGTCGGGGAATTCACTCAGAAGTCAACTTTGGTTTGAGGCCTATTGTTTGGGCCCCTTTTTGTTTCAATCGGTCCTTTGACTTATGGGTGAAGATCACGACCCTTTTGGAAGAGCCCAATATGTTCGCTCTATCCGTTTAATACGATACCATACATAACAATTATATAAAGTAATAATAATAATGATAACTAACAATATTACAAGAGGATGTATTAAGAAATTCAACACTTGGGTTGCAGAGGATGAATATCCAGTAAAGATGTCCCACCAGTGGTGTGCAGTCTCCTTTTCCATCTGGCTAGCTAGCGACATTAGTTGATTCTTTGTGATTACAGTCTGTATCACAGAGTCTGACAGAGTTTTATTTCGTCATTCTAGGTGTCGTCGCAAATGTTCTGATTGTTCCATGATGGTTTTCAGTGAAGTCAGGGATAAGCTGATTCCATTAAGTCCTAAGGTTTGGGGATGCCAGTACATGTTTAGTCGTTCTTCATGCATTGAATAAAAAGTATACATCTGTCCGTGCCAGATGAGATAGAATACATTTCTGAGGCATCCCGAAAATGGAGTACTTAGATTATACATTTCTATTATATTTTTATCATTTGTTACTATACAAACATGCTTAGCACTAATTTCTACAAACATATCAAAGCTTTTGGGCAAAATTGTCCATTTACACAGATTCACTGAATGTTCCAATAATCAAGGTTCATATAACCGCGAGCTTTGTCCACACAATAAACCATTTGCTGTGGACGTACACAAATCTAATTTATGGGTTCAATTCCTAGAGTCTATATAATCTCCCTCCAAGTGGGGCAGCCAATATTCTGGTTCAAAGGGTGGTTTTTCCCCAAAAATTACAGGCAATACTAGAAATTTACACATAACTTCAGGTTGGCTAACATCGTCGTGGACTATTTGACCAGCACAGAATAAATCTGTGCACTGCACTGTCTGTGGAGATAGTTTGACCCAATGGGTTTGAGGAATCCATTTCTTAAATATGTTTCTCCATAACAGCTCATTATTAGCCATTAAGTCACTCTGAGCTTTGTTTCGTTGCATAAGGACATGTAAAGTCTGCAGTGTACATGTTGTCCAATTCATAATCTGGCTAAAGTTGTGGTCAACATGCCACTGATTAATTTGAGTCCTATTGAAGAGCTTTAAAAATTCTGTATCATAGTTCAGTGACCCAATTTGTGGGGTAAAGGTAGTTGGAAGCCACCGAGCCTGCAACCTAATTCCTTCCGCCACATCATAACCAGCATTCTTTACTTTGTTTGTTAAGGTTTCGATATCAATAGAATTTAAAACTCCCATTCCTGCCCCAGTTCCTCCTAACAGGGTGTCATACCATGCCCTTTTCCATCTACATGATGGTAGCAGGGGGAAAGAAATATTGAAATGAATAACATGTTTCTGATATTGTTGAGCTACCTGAACACAAGTAGACGGAATGCGGTACAAATGATCAACAGAAATATGAGGTTTAGATTTTAACATAGTAAAGAAGTCTCCCCAGTGTAACCAATTTTTCATTACTGAATTATTATGGCATATTAGTGTTTCTATTTCTTCCATGGGAAGGGTTATCGCATGAGCAGCATTCACCTCACGACCATCTGTTCGATTAACACATTTGTAATAATCTTTCGAACTGGGCAGACCTGATACATTACAACATTTAAGAGATACTTTACTAGATATAGTGACATTTGAATTATCTGTAGGACAGGTTACAAAAAGGCGTCCACGATCTCTCCATCGTGATGCTGGTCCTGAAGGCCACCAGTATGTACATGTTTTGTTATACTGAGTACTGAAAGTAAGATTGGCTATAATACAGGCAGAATTGGCTTTTCATCGGAAATCATCCTGTTGTCTTGTCTTGGTTGCATTTTTCCATTGCCACCTAAGCGGTGTCTCTCGTGGACCTTCCAATGGCCATCCTGGTGTGAAAGCCTTTCCCAAATGGACCATGACGATACACAGGCAAATCCATCTTAGCAGGATCTAAAAGATAGAATCTTAAGACATCTAGTTATTCTCGCAGATAACATTTAGTCGCAGGAACATATTCCCATTTTTCCTGTCCAGGTTTCATGATTAAAACAGTATTGTCTTTTCCTGTGGCTATTACTTCAGCTGGTTCAGGAGGTCCGCTTGAACTCTGGACCCATACTTTAGCTCCGTTATTGAAATTAGTTGATCCAAACCCTTTATCTCCACGAACAGTGGTAACTTGAGGTGGATCCCCTTTTTTCACAATTGCTTTCAAAACTGGCAATATCAATAGTTGTGCTATTCTGTCGTGGGGATGAATAATCAAATCTTGTTCACCATTGTTTAACAGAATTACTTTAATTTCTCCTTGATAATCCGCATCAATCACTCCTCCCATGACGTGAATACTTTTCAAGGCTAGACTCGAACGGGCAGTTATCAAACCAAAGTGTCCTGGAGGAATTTTAATTCCTATCCCAGTATTGATAACTTTCATCTGTTTTTGGTTTATCCTGATCAATTCCAATGCATAGAGATCTAGCCCTGCAGCTTCTGGAGTGGCCCGGTAAGGGGCCATCGCACCCGGAACAATCTCCCAGTAAGTCAAAGTCTCACTTACTGTCAGAGGTTTTATTTGTAAATTGGGTGTAGTCATGCGCATCAAAGGGGTTTCCATTTCCCCAATGGGCCTATTGTTAAGAATATGTAGCGCATCTGTGAGATGAGTTTTCCATCGGGATAGGTTCCCATCTCCTAACTTCTTCAGCTGCTCTTTCAACAACCCATTCATTCGTTCAATCAATCCTGCAGCTTGTGGATAGTACGGTATATGAAAAACCCACTGAATATTTTGCTGTTCAGCATACTGTTGAACAAATTTGTTTCGAAAATGAGACCCATTATCAGTTTGAATCTGCAATGGTATTCCATAGTACAAAATGATTATGCCTATAGTACAGATAGTACTATAATGAGTAGCTTTCTTACAAGGACGGGCAATCAAATATCCAGAATATGTATCTACAGCAGTGCAGACATATTTACACCCTAGGTTCTGGGGTAAAGGTCCAATATAATCCATTTGCCAAATTTGTCCAGGCAATTTTCCTCTTCCCAGTTGTCCTTTCACAATATTAGGCACTGGACGTTTGTGAGTATGTTGGCACACGGGGCACTGGGCGATTATAGTTTTGATCATATCAAGTGACATTGTTATGCCACGCTCTTGGGCCCACCTGTAAGTGGCTTTCTCTCCAAGGTGCCCACACTTTTGGTGTGCCCATTTTGCCAAGCCTTCATGATCATCCTTTTGAGGGAATTCTAATCCAGCTTGGGAAATCTTTGCCCGGTTGTCTACGACAGAGTTATAAAGTCGTTCTAAAGTGTTCACATTACTATGAGCATCAACATGAAACACAGACACCTTAGTCCTCTGTACTATTTCCCAAATATCCTTCCACAATTCCTTTCCCCAGACTTCTTTGGAGTATATTTTCCAATCTTTGGCTACCCATGTTGGCAGCCAAGTAGCTAACCCATTAGCTACTGACCAGGAAGTCAGTATATAAATGACATTCTCCTAGGTCTTCTTGTTTCAAGGCCATATAAGCTGCATATAATTCAGCATACTGGCTGCTTTTCCCTTCTCCTGTAGTTTCTAAAAATTTTTCTAGATGGGGATAGGTAAGCTACTGCTTTCCAAAACCTCTTCCCTCCTATATACTTAGCTGATCATCAGTGAACCAAGCATGTTCCTTTTCAGAGGGTGTCAATTGGTCAAAAGCTTTTCCCCATTGTACTGGGGATTCCCGTTCAACTGTGAAATCAGGGTTCATTACTTGATCACCTGTGGGGGCAGTAGCTACTCTCTCGTGGAGGGTAGCTACTCCACCAACCCCTACCTTGGCCCTATCCTGAATATACCATTTCCACTTTATGATACTCGATTCTTGAGCATGCCCAATTCTATGGGTTTTAGGAGAGCTTTTAACCCATTGCATGATAGGAATTTCAGGACGAAGGGACACTTCATGTCCTATTGTAAGCTGCTCTGTTTCTACCAACGCCCAATAACATGCCAATAGTTGTCTCTCAAAAGGTGTATAATTATTTCCTGCCTCTGGCAGCTTTCGTCCCCAAAAACCTAAGGGAACTTTTTTCTTTCCCTGTTTTTGCCATAGGCTCCAATTGGCATGTAATCCATTTACCGACACATTTAACTCCACTTCTCCCTCCTGCAATGGCCACAAATCTAGGGCCTTTTGAATAGCTTCCTTTGCTGACTCAAAAGCAGCTTGCTGTTCATTTCCCCATTCAAACTCATATTTTTTCCTTGTTACTTTATGCAAAGGAGTCAGAATCTGTCCTAAATGGGGAATATGCTGCCGCCAAAAGCCAAACAATCCAATAAATCTCTGTGCCTCATTTTTATTTTGTGGCACTGCAAAATCCAAAATTTTCTGTCGAGCTTTGGGTAATATTTCCCGATGCCCACAATGCCATTGAATTCCTAAGAATTTTACCGTTTGGGATGGTTCTTGAATCTTGTTAGGATTAATTTCCCAACCTTTCTGTCTCATATGATCTACCACCTGTTCAAGTATTTGTTGTACTTCCTTCTCATCATTTCCCTGAATTAGGATATCATCAATGTAATGCACTATTTGCATATAAGGAGGCAATTTTATCTTATCCAGATGCTCAGCCACTGTCCGATGGCAAATGGTTGGACTATGCAGCCATCCCTGAGGCAATCTGGTAAAGGTATACTGTCTTCCTTGCCAGGTGAAGGCAAATTGGTCCCAATGCTCCTCTGCAATTGGGATAGTGAAAAAGGCGTTAGCTAAATCTATTACAGCATACCAAGTCCCTGAATGCTTTTGAACCTTTTCTATTAAAGTAATAGTATCTGGTACAGCTGCTGTAAGTGGTGGGGTGTGTTTATTTAATTCCCTAAAATCTACTGTCATTCTCCATGACCCATCACTTTTCTTGACAGGCCATACCGGATTGTTCCAAGCTGTGGTAACTGGTTTCAACACTCCTGCATCTAATAAATCTTTAATTGTCTGTGATATCTCCTCATGCCCTCCTGGAATTCTATATTGTTTCATAGTCACTAATTTAGTAGCAGCAGGAATCTGTACAGGAGGCATTTTCACTTTTCCTACTAAAATTGTTTTAATACTGATATGATTTTTTACCCCAAACTGGTACTGACCGTCTGGGAGATTCAAAGTTAGTCCCTTCAGAATGTCTATTCCGATTATGTATTCAGGAATGGGGACAATCATGACTGAATACAGTCGTTTTGGGAGGTTTCCTATTTTCATTTCAATTTGAGTTTGTACAGCTTCAATTTGTTTCCCTCCCAGACCTTGTAATGATTACAGGTTGTCCTTTAAATTTCTTTGGATTCCCATATATCAAGGAGGCCTCCGCTCCTGTGTCAATTAAGGCTTTTACTGTTTGTGAGGACCAGGTTTTTCCAAAATATTTGGAGCTCCACATGGGGCCGTCGGTCCTTCCGTGCCCATTGCACTGGAGCTTGGCCATAATTTCATTCCTGTTTACTGCTCTGGACAATTTCCCTAGTCTCCTTCCATGGGTATAAATCAGAATACAGCTCCCAATCCCCCCTTTCCCCCGGAACAACTGATCTGCCCACGGAGGGCCCACCGTGTGCAGATGGGAAGTCCCGTTGAGGCTCAGGAGGAGGTGCTGTAGGCTGAGTTACCCCTGGCTTCTTAGTTTCAGAACTTTGCACTCTCCTGCTAGGCTTATTCAGCCCTCTTTGTTTGTATATTCGCCACAGCTCGTTAGTTGGAACACCATCAATCTTTTCACGAGATAGGCCATCCTTCAGTAAAGCTGTAAACATTTCTTTGCGAGAGACTCTGTTCTCATTTCCTTTAGGGCTGTCCCGAGTATCTCGGTTTCCTGCGCTTCCTCGGGGGCCCCATTCTCCAAGATCACCTAGCTGCTGTATTTTTTCAATTATTTCATCAATGGGATTTCCGGTCTCATTAATTAAGAGAGTCATTATTACATTTTTATATGCTGGTGGGGCAGTTTTAATCAATCGGTTTCTATGAGTGACAGACAAGGCAGCTTGCATCATTCTGTCAGGGTCTCCTATAAAGATTGCCAATTTCATCCCTTCCTCCTTCATCCGCTGTATACAATCTCGCAAAGTATACCAGGGACGTTCCCCACCTGGCCAATCATTCTCCGTGGGGTATTTATTATTACATCCCCGGGCAGCCAAGGTTAACAAATTTGTATCCTGAGGATTATTTCGGAATGCATCTTGCACAAAGGAGTCAGAACTCAAAACTAAAAACTTCCTAGAGTCCTCTGGATCTAGGGTTACCCCTGCTGCTCCCTGATCGTGCAAACGCACCATCCAAGAGAGCAGGGGTTCCCCCTGTCTCTGCTTAAATCTTTCAATTATATCATTTATTTCATGCTGAGTATAATCTTCAATCACATCCTTCCTTACTTGTTGCCCGTTAGTATCCAATTCTATTTTCCGTCTCCACACTGGTTTTACATCCACAGGTTCATCTGAGGAACCAGCCTCATCAGAACCTGTAGAATCCCAAATATCTCCATCCCATCTGTCAGGATCCCACTGTACCCCTGCTTCTGCAATCACAGCATGCACTTTCCTATGGTTTACTCGTCCCCTTCTTTTCTTATACTGTGCAACTCTTACTGCAGCTCTTTCAGCTACAGTCTGATAAGTATCCAACTTATCGGCAAGCAACTTGTTTTGACACTGTAACATTACAATTTGATTCTGCAAATCACACATCTGTCGCTCCATGTGGGAGCGCTCTAACAACAGTTTTTCTTTCTGTTGGTGCTGTTTCCGATATGCTGTTAACAAAACCCATCCCCGTCTTCCCAAACACACAATTTCTTTTCCTTTTTCGATAGATAATTTTTGGATACATTTTAATACATCCAGTGGTTCAGCTTCTTTTAGCCGACTTTCCCACTGTTCACATGGTCCTCCGACCTTAGCCCACTCAAGAGCCAGTGAACTATAAGGAAGGTCTTCCCATCCAGGAATTTCAGATGGAGCTGATTCATTACGTTTAGATTTAAAAAATGACATTTTGTTCTAATCCTGTCCGTGACGCCAAATTTGTTTTGCCAATTGACGGGGTTAACACAAAGGACACAGACACCAAGCTAAAGAAATAGGCTTATTTTACTTTAGTAGAAATAGAAATTTTACTATAGTAGAAATAGCAGAAAGAATAAGCAAGGTAATGCACCTAGACATTACTATTTAAAGCTAGCTATAGTGATTAAGAAAGATACATCACCAATTGCCCTCATACTTTACCATCATCCAGACCCGTGCATCAGCTGGGGAGCCCCGTCACAGCGAAGGGTCGGAGAGCCTTTCCCGGCAATTGGGAAGTCCTACGCAGTGCGTCCACTCGTAGGTGAGGTCTCCGTCTTTGCTGTGAGAGGGTCCAGCTTTTATACAGTTTAACAAACAAGTCTAAACAAAACGCACAGGAGATATCTGGTAGATTGATATGCCTCACTCAGGCATGTCCGGATCTGGCCAGGATCCGGGCATGTCTGAGGAGTTTCTGTTTTTCTTTACATTTGGGATTTATAGTTACTTCCTATTGTTTACTTATAGTTCCCAAGGATTGTTCCCAGGGTTACATTTTCATGCTGATAAGATACTGGTTGCTTCAGTCTGCTGATAAGATGCTGATTGCTGGTCGGGGAATTCACTCAGAAGTCAACTTTGGTTTGAGGCCTATTGTTTGGGCCCCTTTTTGTTTCACGGTGTAGTTAATAGTATCTGTAGATAGCACAAAGAGGTCATGTGCTCTTGAGGTGTGTTACCTGGTGAAAGAGAGGACAAGTCACTTCTGTCACCAAATGCTGTTTGTGAGTCGGTGTCAACTCACTGCATACTGCTGCATGGAAAGAGGAAGCTGTTTTCACAAGAAGGGGAGACAATAGGTCATACAGAGATCAAAACTGGTCCAAAAAGGCTGAAGTGGTCATTTATGTCCTTCCTCGAGGAGTCTGGCTATTTCATCAATTACTTTTTTGTATTTTTACAAACATCAAATTCCCACCTAAGTATAGGAACCAAATTGTTATCCTTTTTACCTTTCTATGCACAGAAACAGAAAACAAAGATGAAAAAGCTTTAGTATGTTTTGATAGTTCTATTTTAACATCCAAATATTTTTTATGTCTGCAAACTCAGTTATTACCTTTTTCATTCTGAATCAGTAGCTGCAAGGAATTGATGAGCCCTAACTAATTCACATCATATTCACACCTTTAGTTTATTTAGATAAATTTCCTTTACTGATGCTATGTTGACAAAAGCTTAACAAAGACTAATAAATTGATAGAAAGTATATTCAAAAAAAAAAAAAAACAAAAAAAAAACAAACTGAGTGGTAATTTGCTTAATTAGTCACCAAAAGACAAATGTTGTTACAAGCAACACTATTTTCAGAAATGTCACAGGCTAAATGTAGTGGATACATGGGAAATGCTTATAAAGAGGTATGGTGTAAGCATATTCATTAAGTTTGCCACTGTACATACTTCCAAATGGTTTAACATGTGAAATATAAAGAAGACAAGATAAAACTATAGGAAGGTGAGACAGAGGGTTAAAAGAGAACAAATGTCAAGAAGATGAAAAAAACAGATGAAAAATAATGACTTCTGGTAACTGCACATACAACATGTTATGCAGTACAAGGAATTTATCAGTAGTATAATCTTTTTCAATCCACATAGAAATTAATTTGCAACAGTAGTACAGAACTGGGGAAAAAAAGATCATTTCATAGAGAATCAGGCAAAAATGTAATAACTTATCAATCTGCTAAAGTTGAAGTATTAGGGACTGTGAAAGATGCAAAAAGCCTAACTACTTGCATATTGAACTGAAACTTGGAAAGGAATGGTATCCTATACGTGAACAGCAATGTTTATGTAGTCTCACTCTTTACAAACACATCTCTTTTCATTCCTGTACCAAACCTCAGTTACTCGTATTTAACAGAAGAAACAACAAAGCAACACCTACAGAAGGGTTTTCAGAGGAAGTGGTAGGGAGAAAAACGTAGAATCACAGAATCACAGAATGGTTTGGGTTGGAAGAGGGACCTTAAATATCACCTATTCCCAACCCCCCTGCCCCGGGCAGGGCCCCCTTCCCCCAGCCCAGGGTGCTCCCAGCCCCGTCCAACCTGGCCTTGAACCCTTCCAGGGAGGGGGCAGCCACAGCTGCTCTGGGCACCCTGTTCACAGGCATGAGAGCTGTGGAGCTGAACACAGGCATCCGTGCGGGCTGTGACAAGAGGAAAAAGATGGAGTGCAAAAGTAGACACTTGAAATAATGCATTAGGAAATGAAACGAGACAAATTGTGAGCAGATGGAGTGATTTAACAGCAATGTGCCATTCCCCTTCTATAGTGTCCATTTTTCTGACTGAATTTTCTATTTAATGGATGACTTCAGGTTTTGGTCTCTGGCTTCCAGACCGTGATTCATCTCACCTCAGAATTTCAAGTGATGGTGGACTCAGCATTTGGCAACCAAGTGAGTCTACACTGTTGCCAGGACAGAGGCTCTTCCTGCCAAACTTCAATCATTTACCTCTGAGGTGGTTTTCTTAGACCTTCCTCAATGTCAATAAGGAAAAATAAGCAGTTTTAGAGAATGATTCATCTAACATATTTTAAAAGTCTACTCTGGCTTGAAATCAATTCCTTTACAAAAATGTCTATTTCTCTTCACTGACCAGTGAAGCAGCTTAGAATGACTAGCTCAAATATCCATGTCTAGACTGTAGCCCATGCCTGCATTCCTTTGATGAATCCCACCCAAGGCGTCAAAAAGTGAGAGGGAAAACATGAAACTGTCTGGTTATTTGAAAACAAATAAGCCAAAAATTACTGGACCTTTTATGAACTATATGGACACACAACATTTTATTTGGGGTAGATTAAAGAAACAAGAACAATTATAAGTTGCCCGATAAAACTCTTCACTGTCACTTAGGTCTTTGGCTTCAGCTATAATAAAATCAGGCAAAAACAGAATAGAAAAAGAACAAAGCAGCAAAAGCACTACCTCTGCTGTGACTGCTCCTAATTTCATTAAGTATTCCTATGTTTTGTTCAATAGGTTATAAGATTATCAGGAAATTTTTAAAGACAATTTGTAACATATGACAAAGATCTTCTTTATATTTGAAGATTTATAATAATTTCTTGGGTTTTTTTCATTGGCCTTTATCCCCCAAATTAATCCCTTGGCAATATGGAACACATATTATTTATTTATTTATTTATTTAGGAAAGATTTGAATTTCAGATTTCTGCTTGACTTCTTGGCCAGATCAAGGGTACTAGGGAAGTGGGAACTGGAAATGTCAAAAGCCACTTATGTTTCCAATATTGATTTGTAAAAACTAGACAAACAGCAGTGCCACCTACTGCTTAACTACAGAAACTCCCTAAGAGCTGGGTCCACGTACCCTATGTATGTTTTACAGTGGAAAGTTCACATGGAGAAGGAATTACTTTCTGTAATGACACAGTGTAGGTTAAAAAAAAAAAAAAAAAAAAAAGTTTAAAAGCAAAATTAAAAACAAATAGTTGTGCACAGGTGAGATCACCATCTCCTATTTCTATCTTATTTTTTCATGAAAATTATTTCAGTCGGGGAAATAAGAAATTTAGAAACGTTTTTAAATTAAGGAGTAAAGCAGGAAGGGAACTGATTCCACAATCAAATGTCCGTCGATTTGTTACATGATTTTGGAACATATCAGCTGCACTTGAGCTTCCTACACACGCTCTCACTCACTCATAACAGACACACGTGAAACGGACTTGTAGATTGAGGTATTCCTGAAATTAATTATTTGTTTTCAGATAGACAACTTACAGAAAATAATGTTATTTTCAGATTATTGATAAAGAGCACATAAAATATTAGCAGATCTTATATGGAGGAAATGTCTGTACTGACATGTTCAATAAGGCATCCAGGAGCAGCTCTTACCGTACGGGTGGTGGGACCCATCTCCACGAGAACTCTATATCCCCCCAGGAAACCTCTGAATCTGATTCCATCCCTGCACAGCACACGCTAGGACGGAGCCCGGAATCACAGACACCAGGATAGGAAGCGTATTGAGCCCGCGTATCAGCCCCTGGTGAGGATTTCCCTGCTATCCCCCCAAATCCCTACCCCTGCCCCAACAGGAATGGGGCAAGGGGGGGGGGGGGGGGGGGGGGGGGGTGCTGAGCACAGAAAGTAGCAGGAAGGAAAAAAATTACTAGGTCCTTAGGGAAATAATGGCCATTTTGGAGGTGGGGATGATTTTCCATGTTATAACAACTAATTACTGTCCTCTTGTATTACCCAGAGAACGAATGCCCTACAGTGCTCGTTTGGTGCGTTTGTTCTCTTAAACCTCAGTTGTGTTACACATGGGTACACATCCATGCATCAGCCTATTACAAAATTTTCTGTTGAGATCATCACCAGTGAAGAAAGCCTTAGAAGGGCTCCTGAAGACGCCATTCTAGAAAGTTGTGAGTTTTAGATTCCCCATCCCTCTTGTAAAATGATTACAATATTCCAGTAATATAAGAATCCCTACATGCAGGATACATGTTGTTGAAGCCACCTGACAGTGAGGCTTCTAATTCAACCACCCTGGTTACCTGAAAGAAGAGAAGACATTCAGAGGGTGAGTTGCTTCATCTTAAGGTATAATATGAGCTGATTTACCTTACTGCAAATGAATGTCAATGTTTACTTTACATTAAACAAATAAACAAATAAAATATTCAGGCCAAAATTAATAGGGCAGGAAAATCTTTAATATGGATCTTTCAAAATGAAGAATTTCAATTCTCATTTCAGAGTGATACTTTGTTTTTAGATATATAACATTTATTTTTAAGAAAGTATACCTTGACCTTCAATTTCTGGTTTTGGATGGAAAAGAGGAATTGTTTATCCACCATCATTCCTTTTGAACAAACTCCTGGGCACAGTTGCTATGTGTGACAAAGAAAAGCACAGATTAACTTTACAGGCTTAGTATCAGTGAAGACAAATTTTCTAGTCTGAAGTGGCCAGTTGTATACAACAAATGACAAGCAAACTCTTATCTTACTTCCCATATCAGTGGCACAATGGTAAACAATATTGAAAACAACTTTTAACATTACAGCTAGATGATAATATAAATACATAAAGGCACTTCCTAAACTCTTGGGAGATGTAAAGCTGCTGAAAGGCTGAACTAATAGAGTATCCAGGTGGCAAAATCAGATCAAATGCGTGATTTAAATAATGTTATTCTGTTCAATCTAGATGGATGAAGCCTTTGGAAACTGAGGAAGAACTATTTTCTCTTTAATATTTACAAGTAACTTGAACATGTCATCTTTGGACTAGATAACAGCTGCGAGTCAACCCAGGGGAAATCTCACCCTCAGTCTTTTTGTTGGCTGCTGTTACTCAGTTTTAATTAAAAGAATGCTCCAGATAAAGTGGCGACAGGTGCAAGGGAATAAAAATGAAGAGTACCTTGCCTACTCAGCTTGATCAAAGTGAATTTAAGTGGCACCCAAGTGATAAACTGGGGGCAGAAAGGAACAGACACGAAGATAAAAACAAACTTTAATCAACACAACCATGAAAAAATAGTGCTATGTGTTCCTTGTAAACATTATCGTACCATTTTATTTAAGGAGTCTTAAATTACACACTGTCAGTAAATCTCCACAATAATGATGTTTTGTTAACTATGTCAATCACAGCCTCACTTGCTGCTCAAATCAACTGCAGGCTAGCCTACAAGCTATATCATATAAAGCTAGTATGCACTGCTGGACAGGACTGAACTCAAACCCCTTCAGGCTTGGACTGATCCTCAAGTAACGTTCAGCAGATCCAGCCAACTACACGCTAAATTGTATAGTACCTTATGGTTCAGAAATGCTGAGCCTGTTAGCCACCTGCCTTGAATGATTTGTTTGGCTTAAATAAACTAAATAGAACTGCCTCATACTTTATATATATATATATATATATATATATATATATATGTATATATATGTATATATATGTATATATATGTGTATATATATGTATATATAGGTTCTGATTCTGTCTGAGAGGTCATAGTACAGGCCTGCATCTGGAAGATCCATTGTTCAATGGACTTCTGGTGCCCTATATTCAAGCTTTCCAAATTGCAGCTTAAGATAGGTTCTTAATTCATAGAATATGACACATAAAAGACTTCCTGAGAATTTCTAAGGACAGTTTAAATTAGGCAGTTTAGGGGTTTTCCCCCTTTAGTCAGAATTCTATGATAAAGGCTAATTCACCAGTTAAAGTTTTAGATTTAACAGATAACAGATAGTTTAGATTTCTAAAAATTATTCAAACTAATGATGTAATGTCTATCCAGCTAATAATGATGGTTTTCTTCTGCTTACATACTGCTGAGAGACTTGGCTTCAAATACTGGGAGACCCTGTAATTATTCAGCTTATAATCAAAAGAATAGACAGAAACTGGTAAGTAGTAATTAATAATACAATGCCATGGTAATTACTATTGTAACTAAAGTCAATTGTTTCCTTTGGCAGTATTTAAATCCACTTACTTCTTGTCACTTTTGTTTTCTTTCTGACATTGATATATCACCATTTTCCTTTCCACACTTTTGGATCAAATGTAGAATAGCTTTCTGGAATTTTTTACTTCTTCCCAGTAATCAAAAATTCCTCTCTTTTTTCTTTTCTCTGGAATTTAACTGTCTTTATTTGCAGTGACAAACCCAGCAACTAATGCAAGCTGTACCTATTCTATGAAATTTAAGCGCACTCTTAATTGTGGACGGTTCCTTTACTGTTGCCTTTAGTCATGTTTGGTTTTTGTAATTTTGGGGTTTTTTGGTAATTTTTTTTTTTTAGTAACGTTTGTTATATTTGTTTTCCACAGACTTGAAAAGAGGCAGGATAGGAACTGGAAAAAGCAATTAATCAAAAAAATAATTGTACTCCCTGCTCTGAGAAATTATCTTCCCATATGATACCCCAAATTGCATTTCACCTTCACATTTATTTATAGTGAAACTAAGTCTTTGCTTTTTTTTAAACCTTTCTTGTTGGCATCATTCACAAACTATATACATTTAAAAAGTACTTTTTCAAAAAAATTATCTTTGATTCCAGCCATGACTCCATGATGCACTGGATCTATTTTCACCTGGCCTTCCAACAAGGTGAACTTCATTTTGTTTTTATTTTTCCCTTTTTATTAAAAATTTCAATATATCACTTGGAGAAAATCTTTGCTAGAGGTTGATAACTCTAATTTCATAAAATTGACCATTAGTATCACTGATGGTTTCCAAGCCAGCTGTTGAACTTTTCCTTCTGAAAGCCTTCTGCTACTGCTCTTCTCTCTCATGAGCCTCAACACATCTTCAGCTTTGTTAACACCTCCCTTCTCCCACAGTTCTTTTGTAGCTAGACATCTGCACCCTAATTCCTCCCCCTCAAGCCTTCCACCCTATGAAGTCACCCATCTCCATCCAAAAATAGTTGTTTTTTAGCTGGGATCACCTTTGTTCTTTTGAGGTCACTTTGTGAGTGGAGACAATTACTACATTTGCTTTATCTGTGAACTTCTATCTCCTGTAATCATTCCCCTTTGTGTCTCTGTTTGGACACTTTAGCCAAACACAAAGGGATTCTACAAGAAGCGTATATACAGTTTGTAAGAATTCTTTATTGGTTATTACACACAAATGATCACTACTAGGTTAGGCATTAATATGCTCACTGTATTTTATAAGACATATGCAGAATCTCAGCTACCCAGGCAGGCAAGAGTCAGGAGCTAGGGCAGTTCCTGCAGCACCCTGGAGCACAGCCACAGCTGTGCCACCTTCTGACACCCTGGTTTTAATTTATGATCTTATACCTCCCCACGTCAGTGATTTTCCTTGTCTTAGCTGAAATTGCACAGGGTTTCTCATCTCACATGAATCGCCTCTTCAGAGTTCCTGACAGCTTTTTTTTTTTTTTTTTTTTAATCCCACAATTCAGAATTTCCTCAGAAATTTCTTCAGAAGTCAGAGCCATTGTTACGTAGCTGTGTAGTATCAGCAGTGGGCCTGGTACCCTTAGAGCACAGATGCCTGAACAGACTTCAAGAGAGAGGAAGTCACACTCCGTTATTTTAGCACTGAGACAACTGTGACACAGGAGATAAGGAAATTAATTAGTTCTGAGTGGCTACCAGTCACACCCCTAAATTGCTCAACTGTAACCTGTATCCTCATGCTTACCCTGTAGGAAAACTTATCCTTTTCCTTGTGATACAGTGACACATATATTTCTTCAGACTTTAATATACTGCAGTAAATCATTACATTTCCTTGAACTTTTCAATCCGTGTATCAGCATTTGGATCTAGGCCAATCTGAATTAATGTTGCAGAAAACCGCAATAAATCCTTTAACGACACCTATCCATAAGAAGAATCTTCCATCCTCCCCATTAAAGTTTATTACACAGAGCTCATAGAAAATAGGCATTCAGTAAGAGACATAATTTTAAAATATATACACTTCTGAATAATACAGGTAACATCTTTGTCAGAAATAAAAGACAACTTTCAATGATTTTCATTATATGTCTCCTCATTTTCCATGTAGGACTCAAGTCTGTGAAGTAAGAATTCAGTCTTACTGGCAGAGACACCTTACAGTAGTCATACCACTGACGAACTTAATTGTGCTGACCAAAAATGCAAGGAAGTTAAAGTCACGTTAACAAAAGCTCCTTTGCTGCTGTCACTCATCCTGTTACGGGAACTCAATGCTTGTCCTGCAAATATGGGGAAAGAGTGCAGGATGATGAAGAGGCAGTAACTCCACCATGAGATGATTTGGTTCCTGTAAGACAATGCAAGGGCTCTGGTTTGCAACTACTGCTTTTTAGCAGTTGAAAAGATGACAAAACTGGGCACAACTGCTTTAAACAGAAGCTGTCAAGGCCCCCCCCAAAACCGGCTGTACTTCCTTCTATTCCAAATCCATACCAGCCCCTCTGATATACCAGTAAGAAGAGTAACGGGTGCCAGAGGTGAAGGAGGCTAACTTGCGTGAAATCTGTAATATATTTTTTTCCCCTGCTAGTTTAGTTTTAATCCGAGTCAGAACCCTCGGAAAGGTCACACATTTTCACTTTTCCCTCACAGGCATCTTTGCTCTCCCCCGTTTTCTTCACCTGCTGTTGGCAACAGGATCCGTCCCCACCTTCAATCTGTGCGCTGTGTTGTCTCAGGCACTCGCCCGCCACAAGGCTGAGCGGACTCACCCTGCTGAAACACAAACACACACAAGAAAGTAAAAAAAAAGGGGGGTCTGGGGGGTGAGGGGGGTTTGGAAACGACACCAAAACCATCAGCTTTCTTGCCGCCCTGAAGTCACCCCCTCACCCACGCAGCGCCCGGCCGGGCACACGGGCGGTGCGCGGGCACCCGCCCCGCACCCGGCGGCCGGGACGGATGCGGGGTGGCGGTGGGCGCCCCGCGGCCCTTCTCCCTCGGGAGGCCGCAGTGAGGAGGAGGGGACCGCCCGGGCACACGGGCCACCGGCCCCGGGACGCGACTGGACGCCACCGGCGGCAACGCACCGGCTCCCCGCGGCCGCCGGGCCGGGCCGGGCCGGGCCGCCCCAGCTGCGCAGGCGCGCAGGGGCAGCGTCACGGGGGAGGGGCCACCCGTGACACACACCCACCCCTCCGCGACTCCCCCCCACACCCGCGCCCGGGAGGCGGTGGCAGCGTGGCTGGTAAGGAGCGGGGGGGAGAAACCATCCCGCCGCGGCCCGGGTCCCGGTGCCGCGTAGGCCGCGTTAGACCCCCCCCCCCCCCCGGGAGGGCCTGAGGCAGGAGCGTGCGCGGGGGCAAACGGGGAAAAAAAAAAACCAAACAAACTGCAGGGGTTGAGCTGAGGGACGTGGCCCGCCTGAAGCGCCGCCTTTCTGTGGTAAGTTTAGAAGCCGCAGGGACTTTTCTTAACGTTGTGTTCGCTTCGGTTGTCAGCTGGCGTTCTGTGTTTGTGACGTGTAAAAAAATTTGCCTGATTGTTTCAGCTCTCGTGCTTGTTTATGTGGGCTGCTTACTGAGCAGAAGTGGCGGGAGGAAAAACCAAGTCGCGTTGTATGTCGTGGCGCACCAGATGAAGCAGAAAACCCGAAACTGGCTTATTTGATGGGGGTTAAATTCGAAGTTGATCGTGTGCCTCTGAGAGCCCCCCTACACAGAACCACGCTGAGGTCGGTTGCACTCACAGTCAGGGCAGTCGCCTGCTTCCCGTCTGAAGGAGTGCACTTCCATAGGTTATTCTTTATGGTGAGAGTCTTGCTAGGTGTAAACCAGATTACCTTTGGTTTGTGAGTCACGCCTACGATACCCTTGTGTCCCAGAAGGTGACAAGGCTTGCTTGGCACCAGCCGGCGTGCTTGACTTTTACTTACCAGGGCCTTGGCATCAGCACTTCGTTTTTGTGAACAGTTGGTTTGAAGTTGCTGGAATGCTCCCTGCACGTTTTTCAGCTGAGGTAGAAGGAACAGCGTAGTCACCTTAATTATAAGGGACAGTTTGTTCGCTTGTTCTTTGTGCTATTAACAGTTCTAGTCCTTCCTGTTTCTGAAGTGAACAGTGGACTTTATGGTTAGTGGTGAGCAGCACGGTGCCAGATGGAGGCTGGTGACAGAGAGGAGCTACTGAACCAAAGTTCTGCCTACACCTGTTTCATTGTCAAGACAATCAGCTGTTAATGCATCTGTGTTTTAAGGGAGAGGATTATCTAGAGGGCCTTGTTACAGTATCAGGGCCTTGATGTGCAACTACCTTTTCAACTCCTTTTTTTTTTTTTTCTCTTATTTTTTATTTTTTTTTTCCCTTAATGTTTTTAAACAGATTATGTTTAGAAGAAAGAAAGTTTCAACTGTGTACTTCTATGGTGTCCAAGCTCATCTACTGACACCTCCTTTGTAACTCCATGATACAACAGCTTCTGAGAGTATCAGTTTGGTTACCGCATCGTCTGGATCCTCACTTCTGGGAAAATGTGGACTTCTAAAAGTCTTTTTTGTGCTCAAATACTGTTGCTTCATTTGAAAGAAGGCAGACTGCGTAGTTGTACATTTCCAAAAACTCAGCAGTATTGGATTGGAATTCTAAACTATTGCACCATAGCAGCACCACATAACAGAGTTAAATTACAGGTAAATATTTTTGTGGTGCTCTGGGTATAAGCAATGTGTATCAATACAGTGATAATATAATTTATTTCAGAATCTACAGAGCTAAGCTTTTGATCTTGCAGCCTTATTTGTGAACTGAAGATGCCTCTAGTATATTAAGGTAAAAGGGCAGGCAGCAAGAAGGTACAGGAAACCCAGTGTTTCTGAATGAACTTTCTTTGTCTGATGGTTCTAAGTTGAGAAACTTTTTTTTTTTTTTTTTTCCAATTATACTTCAGAGAGTACTGCATGGTAACAGACAGTCTTATTACTTAGAGTGGCATCCGTTTAGTGAAGAATAGGACCAGAGTTCTCTGGAAAACTTTTTACTAATGCAATATTGTAAAAAAAAAAAAAAAAAAAAAAAAAAAAAGGAGAAAAAAAAGTCAATTTTTGTTGGATTGGTAAGGGAGGATAAAAGCATAAGAGCTTGATTATAAAAAAGCTGTGGTTATGAACAAAAATAGTGGGAAAGGACACAAAATTAAGGCTCATCTTGGACACTGACAGTTCTGAATGTCAGTGCTTTTTTTCTAGATGTCTGAGTTCTTTAAAATACAAGTTGCTGCATGTGTAAGTAGTGGAACGTTGTGGTTTCAACTAGTTTAGTGGGGTCTAAGCAATTGAGAAATTTACATTGTTTTACAACTACTAATTAACTTTTATTAATCTGTTTTAAGATTAACATTATTTATCCTTAATTTGCCTGTTTTTTCTCTTTAATAGTAATATTTGGCTGTATGATTTCAGGTTTCCAAGGTAAATGATAAACGATCAGTAGTAGATACAAGAATGGTTGCTAGTGCAGAGGGAACTAAAATAGCTGCTGGAAAAAGGCCCAGTGGAGTTTGTGATGGAAGTCAACATACATTAGAAGGTATTGAACCTTTGCCACCCTCTTCTTAAGAAGTCAGCCTTCCCCGTCCTCTCTAGATATCTTGTGTTAGTGAACAAGATGGTCTAAACTCTTTAATTTAAAAGTTTGGTATCTTGTGGTGTGTTTTATTTTTCAGTTTTAAGGGGGTTATGCACAATTTTTATAGTTTGCAAAGACTCATGTAATTTTCTTAAGTGTTTTAGTGGCTGATTGGATATGTACCGATTATTTTGTATTATTATTATTTTATTTTTTTTTCCTTTAACTTCATCAAACTCTTTCAGTGTTTATTGCTTGTGACTGGATAGATGCAGAACACAGGTTTCCTGTTCTCCTGCTAGCAGCTGTGGTGACTCTTGAGTACACTCTGTTGGATGGGTAATTGGTTTGTGTGAGTCCATTTTTGACTGGAAGAATCAATTTCTTGAGTATTCACTGAAGGCTACGAATGATCTGTGATGGTGGTGAACTTTTTTTTCCTGTTATAAATGTGAAAAAACAATTAAACATTCCTGCGTGAGTGGTGGTTTCTGATTCAGATAAATTAGTAGTTACAATTGTGACCTCTATTTTAGCAGTGCTGCCTAGCCAAACAGTTCTTTCCCTAATTTTGCTTGTTTTGTCATTCCTAGCTAGTAATTAATCCTCAAATGTGCTGTTATGCATCATACATTTTAGCTCCTGTCCTTCAGGGTGCTTGGTCATTCGCATTCTATGTATATTTAATTTTTGTTCGTAAAGGTTTTTTTAGTCAGTTGCTTTGGGCATTTTCAGCTGTTGTTTACAAATGGGATGTCAGAGAGGTAATTATGACTGGTTAAGACACTGAGATTGTACACTGTTTATGTAATGATATTGCTCAGGAAACAGCAGGATGAGAAACGGTTTTGCTATTTCTTGTGCTTGACAATTAGGAAGACAGTACCTATCCTGAAAAAGCTGTATTGCACTGTACCATAATTCTGCTGTTCAGGCTTGTCTCCTTAAATACATTCTCTTGTAGGTTTGTATTACAAATGGATGAGATACTACTGACTAAACAGAAATGCCCCCCCCCACTACCCCCCAGAATATTTTTAATCACCAGTGAATTATTTTTTTATTTCACAGATGTGAGAATCTTTTAAATATAACTCACAGTTTTATGTTTATTCCTGAATGCTTCTGTGTTTTCTGTAAAGTGATAAGATTGAACAGCTCCAGTGTCCTTCTGGTTTCTTCTTGTACTTACCTTTTTTATGCTTCTGTTTTTTCTTGTAGACAGCAGAAGGGTACCTATCCTCATAGCTGGTTAAAATCTTTATATTTTGAAATTTGCCAATTGTAAGATTACAACGTTTTTGAAAAGCAGTGTCAAAAGCATTTGCTGTGTCATATTTGCATCATCTCTACAGTGTTTTCACTGTCCAGCTGATGTACTTGTGCATCCTTTTAAAGTTCATTGAAATTTTTCCTTAAGATATGCTGATATGATAACTTTGAGTTAATAGATAATATCTTTAATGGTCAGAATGTACATTAAACCCTCTGAGAATATTTGTTCTGAGGTCTTGTGGAACAGGTGTTTCATACCATTTCTAAGGTAGCAAGATTTCTGCTGTTTGCTCAGGCACCTGAAAAAATGGTCTATGTCCAGATGTCACTGTGCTCCTATTTCTGGTACTCTGTAAGAAGTTGGCAGGGAATAGTCATACTGTAGACCTAATTAAATTTCTCTGTGTGTTCTCTTGGGAGTTGTTACAAAAAGAATGCTACTATTCTTTTTGATCGAAAGAGCAGTGATCTACCAGATCATCAAAGCAAAAGGCATATTTGAATCACACTGTCTCTGAAATATACCATTCTAACTTGCAAATCAAGTGTTGCCGTGGCATATTTGCAGGAATCAAAAGAAATGGGAAAGTTTATATTATAAAAGTGAGTATCTCGGTTTCCTATTTCTTTTCTGATTTTACAGGACATTCATCTTAAGAATGCTTTCTTATCTTTTTTTGTTACTCAGAGATTCCTTTTCAAGGTGAAATGACATTGCTTAATTGCATGTCAAGCAGATAGTTCCTTACAGAATCATGATTCTTACTCATCTGTATCATCTTTGTAGGTTAAGTGCTTTGTTACAGATTTGCTGTAAGAGGCCTTCAATTCAATATACAGAACCTCCCCACAGGTAGATGCATTGTGCTGAATGAAGATGTTAATGTTCTGTTGTTTTTCTATAATGCTGATTATTTGCAATACTCTACTGATTTTAATATTCTGAACAAAAGAAGGAAGACCTGATTGTTCCACCCAGCAACAGATACTAGGCTGTCATTTAGCAGCTGAACATTACATGATTTTTAACTTAACTGGGTAAAGCTCTGAGCAACCCGATTTGATCTGATAGCTGACCCAGCTCTGAGCAGAAGGTTGGGCAAGAGACTTCCTGAATTATTCTACAATTTAATGTTTTGGTTTGTTTTTTTTGTTTTGGTTTGTTTTTTTTTTTAACTCAGCATTACCCACTTGTAGGTGGGTATTTATGTGCAAAGCCCATTTCTCAGTCATGCAGATAATGTAACCAGTGGATCTGTCATTTGAACATGAATAACATCTGCCCGTTCACATATGTACTGAAGTATTTTTAAATTTCATGTATATCTGACAAATACATAATGTAGACCTGGAAACTGATCCTAATTAATAAAAATGTAGTGCAGGGATAACGCAGCCATGCTGTCGCTACTTTTGAATTGAAGTTCTTTTGGGAAATCTGTAAGACAGTGTTGTGTTGCATGCCATACAAATCCAGTGAATCAAGTACTTCTGTTTAAAAAACAAACAAACAAACAAAACAAAAAAACAAAACAAACCTGCTTTTTGGGTTGCATTCATTTAATCTTTTTGGACTTGAAATTGGTCTACTCTTAACAGAGTATGAGGCTAGCAGCATTCTTTAACAGTATTCCTCCACTTGCAGTCTTAGTGTTCTTTTTATTTTGCATGTTCATCTCAGTCCTTTGGTCAGTCAAGAAACTGATGTGAATACTCCTTCAGTAATCTCTCTGTCCCTTGGATAGGGGAATGAAGAAGGAGGAAGAGGAGTATGGCATCTAAGTATTAAGAAATTACCTTTCATCAGAGAGTCAATGTCGTATATCCAGACACTCAGAACAGGGGTTACTCACAATAAGTGATAATAAGATAGGACTAAAGCTCATGTAAGAAAATAAAATTTCCTCATGAAGCCTTTTAAGAGAAGGCATGGACATCTGATTTTAGTCAGTATATTTTCAGCAGTTTTTGATCACAGTGTTTGGAGCCTGGAATCTCTTTTGGAGCAAAAATGGGAGTTAATTCTTCCATGCTTGTATTTCTTCCTACTTAATAATGCAGTTGCTTTAACCAATTTCACCTTTCTGTCAGAGTGGCCTGTGATGCAAAAGCATCTTTGCTCCTAATTTGTAGGAGGCACAGAAACAGCTGCAGTGGTTGGTTAAACTCTCCAGAGGTTAACTAGCCTGAAAGAAAGCCTGTCATGGCATCATACTTCGAAGTTTGTTTTAATTTCCTTATACTCCACTGAAAAAAAAACCTTCAAAGTACAGTTGTGTTTGTTGTTTTCCAGTAAAATATTGACTAAACTTTTTTTTTTTTATTTTCTATGCAGTATATTGATTTATCTTTAAATTAAAAGAACCTTTATTTTTTAAAATTAGTAACAAAATTTATCATTTGCTTTGTTGCAAAAGCCTTTCTCTCATATTGTTGCAGTAAGAGCCAACCTCACATCCTTTCTGTCAGTGCAAATGTGTTAGATATGTTACAGGTATTCCTACTTACAAGTGGATATGCAAACCTTTCCAGTGTAAAGGAGGTGAAGCAGTTGATAAAGTAATTTATGATAGTGGGGTGTTTTAGCAGAATGACTAATGCACCAAACCAAACACACAATACAGTATGCCCTGGCACTATGAGATGCGTGCTCTCTTATTTTTTTTTTTTTTTTTAGGAAAAGAGTAATCTGGTTAGACCCATTTGTGGTCTGATTTTAATCATGTTATAGGTATAGCAGTTGAGTTTACTTATCTAGATGGTTTTGAAAGCTGTTTCTTATCCTCGTCTTTCATGCTCTTCCCATTTCTGATCCAAAGAGGCAACTTAACCCAAAATCTGTTGCTGTATGCATTTACATCTCTTCATCGTATTATCTCCAAAAGAAACATCAGCTATCTCATTACAAACCAGAAAAATCAAGTATATTCCTGAGGGTACCGATTTTTTTTTTTTTTTTTTTTTTTTTAAGTCCCATTTGCATTGAGACATAGCCAAATATGCTAGGAGTTTATTTTATTTCAATAATAAGATAATCTGTACAATATATTGGATATATGTACAGTAGAATCTGTGGAATAACTTGCTCTCATAATTGTAATTATTTGGTGAAACAGAAGAGATAATAAAATGCACAGCCTTGTGTGTTTTTGTTTTTTTTAATAAACCATCCCTAATGATCTCCATTTATGCTTCCTGTTTGGTTGGTTTTTTTTTTTTTAGTTTTAAAAATCTATCCTTGACACCTTCAGATTGTGTGTATGTTTTCATACATTTACTGCTTTGTATTTTACTTTGATTTTTTTGAATTCCTCCTTATTTTAATAGTAGCAACAATTTATTGTGTGGTTTTCTTTTCTAAGAAGGATACTACTTTAAGTAAGAATCTATTAATGATTAATAATAATACAGATAACCAAATGAATTCCAAAGGTGAAGGGAAAAAATTTCTTTCTTAAAGAATTATATTGGGATCAGAGCTCTGTGTGTTTAAGGGGAACATGATGACAAAGTAGCCAGCAGTTTTATAATTAGTTTGATTTTACCCTTGGTGGTTAACAGTGTTCGCTCTTCAACATCATTCTTTTATCACTTTTTAATAGCTACTTTCATTTTGTATTTCTTTGACAACTTAGATGAAAATGTGTAGTTATGTTGTATATAGATACATATTTATTGAAAAAGGGATTTGTGCTAAGGAGTATTTTAGAGTTTTCAATTTTGGAGATGTTAAACTAATTGCTACTTGTTTGATGTATTTGGTAATTAAAAGATTTACTGTTCTTAAATAAATTGTTTTTTTGTTATGTAGATATAGTTTATTATATGTTCTGTGCCCAAAGAATAGATGTATATTATAAGATAAAGTTAACTGATCCTTTTTCTGATTGTGAATCTTTATGTCCACAGCAAAAATGAAACACATCAATCTGTCATTTGCAGCTTGTGGTTTTCTGGGTATTTACCACTTGGGGGCAGCAGCTGCTTTTTACAGGCATGGTAAGAAGTTACTGAAAGTTGTGAAAGCTTTTGCGGGAGCTTCTGCGGGATCACTGGCTGCCACTGTCTTATTAGCGGTACCAGACAATATAGAGGTAAATTCATAAACTCGTAGGTATAGGACATGATCATTTTCAAGGATATTTTTGATATAATCATCTACCATTAAATTTTAAAAAATATTTTGGTTCTTGTTCTTGCTTATTGTAAGGGAACAGGACTCGTGTATATGTTTTCATTAACAAAATCTGTGACTCATGGACAAAAATGTTGATGAAGCAAGTGTTTCTTTATGACAAAAATTTGTCATATGAACTTTATATTTCAATCTATGTAAATACAAATTTCATGTGTGTGGATGTTGAGTTGTGTTCAACGAGATATACTTTAATATATTGAAATGTATATGCTTTTAATCACTGTTCGTTAAAAAGTGAATAATTGTTTTTTTGGCTAGAGATAGGCTTTGTTAAGCAAATGCATAGCACCATCATTTCATCCTTTTGTGAAAGGAGATGGAAATGATAGATGTGTCTTCATAAAATTGAAAAACACCACACGCCAGGACAAATTTTTTTCCTACCTAGCTGTCTGTGCTCAGTTAGACACAGCACAAGTGGCTTGTGCACCTGGTCAGTCCTGGTGCAGCCCACGACCTAAGGGCAGCAGCCCCACTGTGCGCCAGGGAGGATCAGCCCTCACAGCATTCTGTTCTGACGTGGTGCATACACGTGGGAGGGCTTTTCGTCTCTAGAGACACCACTGTTATCACCATGGATATGGTGTCATGTAGAGACAGCAAAGTTGTATTCAGTGACTACTCTATTACAGGTTCTGTTGGAGAGTGTTAGATTTTCTGGGTTTTTTTGTTGGTGTTTTTTCCCATAGGTTAAGGCTGCTTTGCCCTCCTCAAGTGCCTGTAGTGACTTTGCCTTAGTATATGTAGAGGACTAGGCCTTGTCAAATTGTTAATATCTCTTCAATATTTTGAATTATAATAAACAGCATTATTTGGGGGGGAAAAAAAGGCTGATAGATTTTTGTTCTAAGTACACTGCTAACAGTCCAGTAAGCACTAGGTAACTTTCTCTGGGCCTTGCTTATTAGAACTTCCACTGCATTTGATTCAAATAATAGTCCCAGCCAACACCACACTTTACCACAGATCATCCAAGTGGTTGTTTTGTTTTTTTTTTTTTTTTTCCTACTGGAATATAAACTTAGCTTTCAGTTAGCTATACCGTTGTTGCTTTCAGCAGTATGTTCTTTCCTGGTTCCTTTCCATGTTCCCCCCTGCCCCCCCCCCGCCACAGTGCATTCTTTATATGATTTGGTATTGTGCAAGTTCCACTCTGCTGTGAAGAGAACCAGAGAACCTTACTTGTAGTCTGTTCAAGTCTTACTCCTTCTCTGTAGCCTCTGACTAGTAGCTCAGTTTCGAGTTGGCCTGATATAATGCATACGCTCTGACTTCAGTTTCCTCTACGGTGAGCACAGCAGGAAGCCTTTTCTTAGCCCAAGGAAATTTTTCTGCTTATTGTAGGCTCCGAATATGAGCCTTTGTTCCCAGCCTGGTCCAGCTTACAAAGGTCTTCCTAAGTAAAAATATTAGAACAGTTTTATTTTTCATTTGTGGAAACCAACCCTATATTACATTGAGTTTGATGGAATTTTCTTTGAAAGCATGTAATTTTAATGCAAATTGAAGAATATTTAATGAACTTTTTAGTCTTTTTTATTTACTTTTTAGTGATTCTGTTATGTTGTTTAAATAGAAAATCGAGCGCTATTTTTTTGGGGGGGATAATTCTTCTTAATTCTCACGGAATTTAAGTAAAGGCAGTGTTGTATACTGAACAGAATTAACTTTTCGTATCAGGATAATTATATTGTTACCTTTATAACACTTCTAATTTGAAATATTTTATATCCACTTATATAATTCTTACATTAGTTAATTTTTTTTCACTCTTCCTAAAGATGACTATATTAGACAAGCTATAATTAGGACTTTCTCCATCTCCTAGTCTCAAAGCTCTAATGCAACCTTTCCTTACCTTGGAGAGAATGTAACATTGAGGATTTCTTGTTTTGACTGTTGCTGTTCTAATATGACAGTTTGCAAATGTTTTTCTGTCATGTCTTGGACTTGTGTCACTGTTGAAAAGGCATGGGACTTGAGAATTCTAGGGAGGCTTATAGAGTTACTGTAAGTACCTATTTATTTCAAAACTACTTTGATCATGTTTGATAACAAGTTTGCTTAGCTCAGTACAAGTAGTTGCAATTTCTAAACATGTCCTCAGTCACTATTTAAAATTTAGATGTATTGCTTAAAGCTTCTAGCACTAAAATTATAAACCATAGCTGTAAGAAGATGTCCCTTTTGGCAGCAAGAATTGAGAGCCTAGGTATGGTCTATTCTTAGTACTTGTTATATGGAAGGTAGTTTTCTGTCATTCACCTATATTTGGATGCTCCCTGTTGCTCTTGGCTCCCCATCACTTTATTAAAGCATCTTAGATATAAAGATTGTAGTTCTGAGGTGCTTCTACGTAGGGTTTTGTGAGTTTCTTTGTTTAGAGAGAGAGGTACCTGAATGTGCCTCTTTCCAGCTGATTGACTACAGAAGAAGCCTGACTGCCTCATACAGCATAAATTGAAGACTTGGTGATTACAACTAGTTTTAGTTATTTGAATTGGCGTGGAACTGGCAATGTCAAGTACCTCATAGAGTAAAGGTGCAAATCTAAACAATGTGAAATGAATTAGTACAAATCTTTACAGTGGTTGTTGCTTTAAGAGGTATGGACCTCTTAATGAACTTTTTTGATACATTTATTCAAAGGCCATATAGAGAAAGTGGATGCAAGAACTACATTTCTGTCTTTGGCTTAGGTGAGTGTTCTGTTGTACAAGTGATGTGAGGAAGTTAAACTGCTTCAGTCTCCTTGTTCCTGATCTCATACTAATCCTCACCCCGACTCTTCAACGCTTTCCTGTTTTTCCTTCTGTTAAATCCTATACTTTTTTTTTTTTTTCCTCTTTTTACTTTCCCCAGTCACGTCAATAATTTATTTTGTTACTATCAGCATACTTGTTCTTTGTGCAGAAAGCTAATAAGCCAGGAACCCCAAACTCTCTATAGACATATCTTTTACTCTGTAAGCATGCAGTTTTATACGTGAATATGGGTATAATATATTTATTGAGTACCAATTTCAGAAAGTTGCATAAGATTGGATTTACTGTTTTCCTAAGTCACTAAAATAGTTAGAGAAGTCTGCATGAAAGGATAAAAAAGAAATAGGAATACCGACTAGTGAGTCTTAAGCATTCAGAATCATAATTAATAGTTTCAGAATCTTTTTGCTAAAAAATAAATACTGTCAATTCCTTTACTCTCGTTTTGGAGTTCTTATGGCTCACATTTCAAGCTGTTTTTGTGCAGTCATTAACTCTAGGCATTTTGGCTTGTGTAACAGCAGGTTTCTGTGCAGTGGCATCTGTTGCCTGGTTTTCTGCAGTGTCTTTCTTTCCTGTGTCATCTGTCATAGCATTCCATTCATTAAATAATTCCATAGTATTGTATTCATTAAATATGTGTATTTGTTACTAGTATGGTTTTTGCATTAGTGACAAGAAAGTGTAATAATTGTAATTTTTTAAATGCTTATAGGCATCTTAAGGTACTCGTGTCTGGTTTTAGTACTGAAGTAGCCTTTAAAATAAAAGGTGGCTTTACGTTTGAAATATAGATGGTCATTCTTGTAATGGCATGGTTCAGAGAACTGATTATTTAGCAAGGTAAAATATAGAAAAATGGCTTTTAACTTTCCTTGATTATTAAAGTGGTATTCTTGTGAGAATTTATTATTATTATTATTATTATTATTATTATTATTATTATTATTAGGCATCTTGATTTCTTACAAATTAGTTACTATGAAAGGATCAGTGTTTTGTTACACATATCTTGTTACAAACCATGCACATGTGAGAAAATATTTTGGTCTGATCTTATAGATCTCTCTCGATTAAAGCTTTAGCTGCTAATATGCCTTAGATAACACAGTTGAACATATTTCCCATAACTAAAGCATCCTTAATGATGAATTGTTTTAATTTCCAGAAATGTAAGCAGTTTGCCTATGGATTTGCAGAGGAAGTCAGAAAATTGGACTTTGGTGCTGTAACGCCTGGTTATGATTTCATGAAAACGCTTAGGTACCTATTGTAATGTAGCTGTAAGATCATTTTTGTGTGAAGCTCTATAAATGAAAATTGAGAGTGTGCATGTTTTTCCTATGCTGTGGGGCACTCAGCACTCTTTTCTTTCACTCGTAGCATATTTGCAAGTTTCTTAAATAACGATGGTGAATAATGTTTAGCATTTTCTTTACTCTAGAGAAGGCATAGAGTCTATTCTTCCTTCTAATGCTCATGAGATCGCTGAGAACCGGCTCTATGTGTCAGTCACTAACACCAAAAATGGGGAAAATCACTTGGTTTCAAATTTTGCCTCCAGGGAGGACCTCATTAAGGTAATGAAGTTGACTATTGCTGCTTTAAATAAAAATGCTTGAGTTTTTTCAAGGCTTAGGAGTATGTTATTAGCTGTACAATAAATCACTGTTTTACTCAAGTATTTGCTTGTATTATCAGTGGTGCTACAACCATAACATAAACAGTGGAAGCAGAATTTGATCCTTCAGTTTCACAGTTTTGCTAGAATTTATTTTCTGTCTGTGTTTCCTAGATCTGTTTTTAAAATACTACCTTGTAGGCAAAGTGTGTTTAAAATGTAACAGAGTAACTAATGGTTACAGTAGATGAGAATGAAATAGAAAATCTCCAAATTTTGTAACACTTTGCCAAGCCTTTTTGCTCCTCTTACTTCACTGATAACGTTTGTATTATGTTGGATCACAGAAGAAAGTAAAGAAAAAGAAGTTAAAAAAACCCTAAAGTTCAACACTTTCTACAAGTCCTTGTGTGGAATAGATATGATGTAATGTGAAGTACCATATAAAAATTGTATTTTAACTGTTGCTGGAAAGCATATCTTTTACTGCCCATCTCTTTTTTTTTGAATGCCACTTTTTAAATTTGGATCAGGATTGTATACATAAGCTGATATGAAATGGTAGGAGGAATTCAGATGCACGTAAAGCAAATGTTCTTTCTAGTAACTGATTATATCTTAGTGGAGGACATCATAAGATATTACAGAGTAAAGGAGAAAATAGAATAAGGAGTTCCTTCTTTCCCTATCCTTGTGGATGCTTAGAGTAAATAAGAGCTTACTTGTAATTAACAATTTAAGGAAAAAAAAAAATCACACTTGTTAACAAAATCTCAAAGTATGCATTGGAAGTTTGCCTTTAAAGTATCATTATTTTAAACTCTTAACCCTACACGGTCAATCAGTTCTCAAAATTTGTAGGACTTAATCATGCAAAAATAATTATGCAAAAAGTTTGTCTCAAATTATGCACTGTTATTTCTAGCTATAGTAGCCAGCAGTGACAGGCATGGAGATTATTATCCTGTATGCTCATGTTTGTTTTTTTTTTTTAGTGAAGTCTTCTAACCTGAAGACAATTAGAAGCATCAAGATAACTTTGGAAATACTTCAAATTTATTAGTATTTCAATAATTCTTTTGTTGACTTAACCATTTCTGGTTTGTCCTTTTGACCCATATGCTAGCATTAGAGTAAGTTTGAAGAATAGTAATACAATTCCAAATAATTGCTCATGGGAATATATTCACATTGTCTGTTCTTTCAGTGCATCTCGTAATACATGTTTTTGTGCATGCCTATGAGTTTATCATTTATGCAGCAGTCTGCATGCTGGTGGCTGCCCTGGTAGCATGGAGGGTAGGGCTGGTTAGGTGTTACAGCTGTACCACGCCTGGACATGATCTGCTGTACCCAAGGCATGGATGAAGGTACTGCTGGGCAAGCAGTGGTTTGTAACAGCAAAATTCTTGTGCCCGCTGCCAGAAATCTTTCAGCTTCCATATGCAATTGGTTTCAATGCTTAACAAGCCTTATGGTTCCAAAGTTTTTCATAATGGCTAAACTGAATATGTGTTGCTGCAATTTTAAGCTTTTATTTTCTTTTGCTATTCCCAGTGGATGTGGAAAGGCAGTTAATAATCTCGCACTTTTGAAACAGTATTTACATATGTGAAGACTATCATCACATACCAGTGTTCCTAGACTTGCAGTTCTTAAACTGGAGATGAAGGGGAGGAGAGGCAATGAATAGGAATCCACACTGGTCTTTTAGTGGTAGGGAAATACCGAAAGTGTTAGTTTTTAAAACTTGGCCTTCCTCACCTCACTCGTGAGATCTAAGTGACTTTATAAGGAAGGCCAACTACTTTCTTCAGTCATCTTGAAAAGAATTTGATCTTTGAAGGGGTCACCTGGTTTTGACTCTTTTCCTTCACTAAACCTTTTGTCCTAATTTCTCTTAGTTTAGAGGGGCCAAAGTTACTGAGATTGAATTGAAGGAGAGAGGAGAAAGGGAGTTGGGCAGGGGAAGAAGCTGTTGTTGTGCACTTGAGCAGCTTGTAGGATGTCACTTCTGAAAATCTAGAGAGAGGAATGGTTTCAAGAGGGAATTTATGTTTTTGTGAGGGAAAGGCCTGTCTGGTAGAGAGATAGGGACAATTTCACACTTGAAAAATAAGAAGAGAAAGCCTTTTTATCTGAACCCACACAAAGCTCAGGTGCTTTTAGATCACTGGGAAAAGAAATGGACAAGAAAAGAGTTCTGCAAGTCAAGAGTTCTTGCAGATTCTTAATTAAAAATTGTTAGTGGAGAAGAGGTGTTTAATACTGAAAGTAGCTTAATTTGTTGTAAAAATACATGCAATTCCACCAAAAATAGCTCAGGGATTTTCCTCCACAGTCTCCATGGACTGTGTTTATATTTTTTTGCACCTGATCATCGTTCACATAGTATATATTCCAGTCTGTAACCTGCTTCTGTTCCTCAGATTTGTCCTCATGCTGCTATGCAAGCACATGCATGCATATTCACCACATGTAGCTATATGAAATTTTCTGACATATTGCACTTCATCCACACATCTACCCCATCCCTTTGAAATGTGGTATACTGATTGCACATATAAATATATGTATATATGTGGGTGGATACATAGGTATAGAGATACACACACTCTCATAAATATTTCTGTGAGTGGATAGAAAGGTATGTGTGTACATCTGTACATGACAGAAGAGGTGTTCCGGTCTAACAAAAAAAAAAAAAAAAAGAGAACTGCTGTAGACAGCAGTGTAGGCTTACAATAGCACGAGTAGTGATTTGTAAATACTTGAATGTATTGAAAGCAAAGTATTAATACTAATAAAGATATACATACATTAATTTTTAGGCAGTTTATAGTATTTTGGAAATTTTGAATTCTTAGAAAATCTGATTTATTAGAAAACACTATATAAATATACCATCAGAGTGATTGGATCAGCTTCTTCTTTGGCAATACTCTACGTTGCATTTTTTTTTTCAGCATATGCATATTTAATTTCTGCAAAATCAAGGATTTATTTCCCATTGTATAAGACTAAGTTCATACTTTCTGAATCACATTAATCAATGAGTTAATATTTTGTTTTGAGAGTTGTCACTGTTAAGTCATAACAAAACAAACCCTATTGAATATTTTAAATCACATTTTGAGATTACAGTAGTTTTATCTAAAACTAATATATAGACTGATTACTGCTATATTATTTAATATAGATAAATATGCATGAAAATGCATATTGCTTCAGAATTATTTTGTTGCATTTTATTCAGTTTTGTTCTCGATTCTTTCTGCTTTCTTTTCTCTAGGTCCTGCTAGCAAGTAGTTTTGTACCAGTATATGCAGGAATTAAGCCAGTGGAGTATAAAGGAGAGGTAATTTTTCATTAACTACCAACTTTTCTTTTTTTTTTTTTTTTTTTAGTGTAAGAGCATTGTTAATTTATGATGTAAATATTTGATCTTAAGGGAAGACAACTGCAGCACTATATTTTGTAGAATAATTATTGTTTCTGGTGGTACTGTAAATTAACACTGTGAAAGATGACATGGTTTTGTTCATGTGTTGTTTCAAAAGCTCTGGGTGCTGAGACTGAAGTGATCTCTGTACCATGAAGCTGTTTCCTAAAGATAATGTCTAACACTTGCCATGAGAAGAAGCTCCTCTTAGTAAAGATGCTTCTCATGATAAGCTGTGTTACCAACTCTAAAATGTTTTTGCAGTTTAAAGGACCACCATTCTGCTTTTCTGTTTAATGGAAGGAATGATAAGGGAGGTCTTGGCGGATTGGACACTGATGGAGTACATGTATGGGATTACAGGTGTTATTTACTTGGTTTACTTGTTGTTTACTTGGTTTAGCTTCAAGAACATATTTGTCTCTCTTACATAAAAAGAATTTTTACATTTTAAAAATGTAAATTTTTATTTTTTTAATTTTTAAGAAGAATCTTAACACCTTAAGAATAATTTTGACTGTTTAGTCTGTTCATAATTACTGGAAGTATGAAAATAGCCATTTCTTTCTGAGAAGGACTACATGATACATATTTCCTCATATGCATCCAAACAATGCCTTTAGAACATCTATAATCCTCACAGCCACCCTGCCAAAAAAACCCTACAAAACCATATGCGCTTGTCTCTAACAGTAGGGAGTTGGAGTTCATTATGTCAGAAAGCTTGTCAGCTTTAGAATTATGTATACAGCAATACATACTAGCTAAAACGTTTGAAGGATTTAAATCAGTGTTGTCTGACTGCTTGAGTTAAATGGAGACTGCTTGCTGCTTCCCAAGTCTGGAAATTTTGTTGACTGGAGTCTTTATACATTGCTTGTGCAGGTCAGAGGGCATACATGGATGTTTTAGGTTAATTCTGTCATTAATTAAGGGAAAGAAAGTGTTATCGTTAAGTTTCTTGTGATGTTCTTTCAATTGAGAAATTGAAACATTGGCTCAGAGTTTTGTCCAGACTTACTTAAAACCCATTTTACTGGATGAACACTGCTATTATGTTTTGCATAGGTATTGTAGTATTTACTGAAACACCTGCAGCCTCTTCCTAGTGAACCTTTCTCATTCCTGCCTAACTTTATTTTTTGCATTCAAAAGTGAAATCAATGACTGTTCCATAGAAACTGGTTCTTCTGTTACTTGAAAGCTTGTCATCCACAAAGCTTCTTCTACTTCCCTTAAGTGAGTTTCAGAAAATGCAGTTTCTGGGAATGAGGTTGTTTTCATTTGTTGTTATTTGTTGGAATGATTAGTTCTGCATGTCTGCACTGACTTTTCTCATACTCTGTAAAACAGCACATTTGTGGCTTGGGGATTTTTTTTTTCAAGACTGTTGCCTGCAAATGCATATGACTTACATTCTTTAGTCCAAAACACTTAGAGCAGGGTGAGAGCAAAAACCTTAGGATCTCTGTTGCAATAGTATCTCCTCAGTTTGGAATAGTGGGTGGTGAGGATATGTGGGTGGGTAATTGGGGCCCTAAAGCATGCAGCGTAGAGCCAGATATGTTGCATGTAACCTCATGATCCAGACATAGCAAGCACTGAGGTCAGTAAGACGGGTTGGATACTGATTTTGCTCTGCCAGGCCACCTGTCACATTAGCATCATATTCCAACTTTCCTGAAAGCTTTACTGTAACAGACCAATGTTCTGTCTGTCTGCATTTACCCTAGTTTCTGGGAGTAAACTCCTTAGGCCGTATGGTCCGTGGCAGCGTGGAATAGAGCTTACGCCCTGCTCAAGGCTACTGGCCTTATCTCTGCTTCAGAACAATGATCTGGATCTTCTCTGGGTTACATATGTCACCTGCATATATATCACCAGGTCACCTGGGAGTGATTTTAAAATGTATTTCAGTATGCTGAGATACATGATGCGTGATATGTAAGGGAGCATGGTGCACTTTTGCTGGAATAGTATCAGAAAATAGTCAGACCTGTTGCTAGCCTGTCCATACTGCCTGTAGAGAGTGAACCCTGGGGTAAACTGTTCACTGCATTGCACTTTAGTTTTCTGTTTTAGGAAGAATACTTTCCAAAAAGTATTTGGCTCACACTGGGATTAGCTAGCATACCTGTAGTATGCATTCTTGGAGGCTAGACTTTTGAGGTGAATAAACTAAATTGCATGGCACCATAGGCATGATATCAATCTATTCATAGTATGTTTTCTTCTGGTTTGATAAGCCTAAAAATAATCTGAAGGAGAAGGGAGTGTAAGGTAGCATCTGGGAATTTTGAGTCTGTCAATGGCCTTAATGAAAATGGGGTAGTCTATTACCTGGGTTGGGGATTTAAGGTGCTCTTGGACTAGACCTCCAGTAACATCAGCGCAAACTCGATCCATGTAAAATTACCTTTCTTTGAGTTGGTTTGGTGTCCTTTGAATCTCTGGCAAGGTTAATTGTTAAGCCAGATAAAGATCTGCAGGTGATTGAGTTGACTATTGGACTGTAGTTTGTGTCACTGTAGTTCTTAACAACTTTGTAAAAGCCATCTACTGGTAAATGGATAGATTCTGTTAGGTCCATCATGCATCCTCAATTTCATTGTCTGGTTTGGTTTTCATTGCACATTATTTCAAAACTTTCTCTGTCTTTGCACTGTTCTTACAAAGCAGAAACTCTTTCAGAAGTTACCAAGAATTTGCCTCATCAGCTAAGGAGCATTTTTCAAGAATTGGTTAATGGAATTAAAAGAAGCTGGGGTGTTACATCTCTTTATTTGCAGCATATGTTTTATTTTAACTATGTAACATGAGGGACTGTGGAACTAAAATATTTTTGACTGAGAAGCATTTTTTCCCCAAACACTTGAGAGAAAATAAAATGACGGAGGGCATATCGGCCAGGAATAACAGAATCTACAAAAGATACTGTTTAATAAACAGTATTTCACTTGCCTTGGTAAATGTTTTGATTTTCGAATAAATACTGAAGTTGCATAAGAGGAGAGAGGAAAAACCTAAATAACCAGAATTTTTAGAAGTGGGAGAACTTTTAAGTGGTAAAAGTACTAAGATAGATTTGTGAAAGACATTAATAATGTTGTCTATTCTGGTGTCTTTGACATGGCTTAGAGAGGGACTCCACTGTTCTTTTCACTGTGGGAATCACAACAGAAAGCTATTTAGTACTCCAAGGAACATTGCATATAAATTAATAATAAATGACTATTTATAGAGACACAGAAAGAACCCCGTTAGTGTTAGAAGTGTTAAGATATGTTGCAGCTTTACTCACAGTTATCACAGCAATAATGTAATGGAGTTTGAGAAATCAGAAAGATAGCTTTAAATGGGTTTGGAATTAGTCTTTTTTTTTGCCTCCTTTTCTAAATTCAAAATAATCTCAATCTTAAGCATTGAGAAGTATGATCTTTGTGAAAAGTGAAGGATTTCAATGCTGGATTGTGGGTACTGACGTCAGCTAATGTCAAGAGTCAAGCTTTAAAGCATAGTGTGAAATAATAGGGTGAGAAGGGCTATAGAAACTATTGAATGTGAATATTTGTAGCTTGTATTTTAAGCTCAGGAGCATAAAAATCATCTGAAAGAGTAAGGAGAGGGTGGGGTGGGGGGATAAAGCACACACATATACACACACACACCCCCACACACACAACGTGTGAAAGAGTAAATCCATGTATGGCCAGATATGGGACTTGACAGTGGAAAGGGGTGGAAGGTGACAACAAAATCTTTTGACTGTGTGAACTCAAACGTGGCACTGGGAGAAATCTGTACCTATAGAATTAAAAGGAGGTTTGCTTTAAGCAGGGGTAAAGACACAGCTGAGAGGGATGCATACAACCAAGCAATGGACCTTAGAGAATCTCTGAAGAGCAAACACTGTTACCTGAGATAATGCTTCCTGTATAGCAGTCACTACACTAAAAGCTACTATCTTGTCAAGATTTTGAAGATGAGTTTAATTTAGATGTCATAAACAGCTTCCCAAAAGTATACTTTTTATGGGAGACTTTTTTTTTTCACTTTTGTGACTGAATTCCTGTGGTGTTTTGAGATATTTTGTGGGAAAACTTGCAATAGTTTGCTACTTCATAATGGTCACATATAGTATCACCTACAGCAGAAAAGCAATCTTCTGCCTGATTGGTGTTGAAGAGTACAGTGACCCATTTGTTCTTAGAGTTCTGCGTTAATGAAACATGAAGATGATATCCTGGAGTAATCAGTTTACCTTTTGGGGAGTGAAACCCTTAAGAAACACTGAGGTGAATTTTATAATATTTCTTACAGCATTTCAACTTGCCTAGCTTTATGTATCTGCAGTAGTCTACGCCTTACGTAGTTAATTTATGTTTCCTTTATAATTAGTGGAGAAGAAAGCACTTCAGTATAATTCAAATCAGATGTAAATGTCTACTCTAGGAGAAGGTGAATCATGCTAGAAGTGCTTTATGTGATGATAAAGGAAGTGCAAAATGAGTAATTAACTGTAGATGTATAAAGTTTGGTAAGATGCATCTGATCACCAGACCTCATGTCAGTGAATGCATCTAGACAGTAGACCAATGTTGAGTTTTGGGTTATGCACGTAAGCACAGAAAGAAATATGAATGTATAAGACATATAGTCAAGAGACGTCCCAGCTGTCCCTGCTTATACTGGAATGGAATTTGGCAGTGGTGCCTGTAAAGATCAGGCTTGTGCCCCTAGACTGCCTTTAGAAACAAGAAAACATGGGGCTCTGCAAGAAATTAATTGGTTGCTTTTGTTTTTTCTTCTTCCTTCTTACCTGTACTCAACTCCCGTATCAGACTTGATATCTGCTCAATGTGCCATAGTTGTTCAGCTCCTTCCCATCTTTCCTCTCCACTTTCCAGCTATTGCTGTCTTGTGTATGTAAGATGACAGGAGGATCTGGAAGAAGAAGAGAGGAGGCATGTTTGGTTTGGTTTGTGGAGTCAGTTTAGCTGCACATACAGATTGTCCAGCTCCTAGTTTGAATCTGAGTAATGTTTTAGAGAAGTCTATGTTACATGATATGGTTCACTTGTAATATTAACAATCTTATCTTTTAATGTATGTGTTGAGAAAAATTCTGTATGGGGCATTTTGTTATTAGATTAACCAATAAACCTTACAAGTAGCTTGATATTACATATAAGTTTACATATTATACCAAATTATATCAAATGCTTACTGATTAAACACTCTGTGTGTACATTGTCAGTTCCTTGATTTTTACGCTTCATACTCAAACTTAGTCATGGTATTCTGAGAAGGAAACTTGTAAGTTTTCTTGAGGGTGGGGTGGAGGAGGCAGGGACAGGAAGGATTAAATATTCAGTTATGATCATACTGTACTGAGGCTGCTTCAAAAATATTTTTGTTTTCCAATAGAAGTGGGTTGATGGTGGCCTTACCAATGGCCTTCCTATCTTGCCTGTTGGAAGAACTGTGACAATTTCTCCTTTCAGTGGTCGATTAGATATCTGTCCACAAGATAAAGGACGTGTGGATCTTTATGTTAAATTTGCAAAACAAGATATAATGGTGAGTTGCTTATTTATTAAATAATTTCAGAAGAAGAAAATGTAGTTGTGCAGTTAAGCTTATGCTTATTTTTAAGCATCTGTTTTGTGCTTATATGTCAAGTAATGCTTTGGAATTTTCTCTTTTGCAAATTGGGAACTTTTTATTAAACACAAGGGAAGGAAGGTATAGAATAAAGAAAGCTTGAAAAGCATTGATGTAGTACCAAATTGAGAATATTATCATAGGGTATTAAATGTAAATAATCTAGACTTGCTTGAAGTATCAGCTGTCTTTGGCTAGGCAGAGTGTTTATAGAAAAAAAAAAAAAAATAAAGACTTCTATAGAATACTTCAGGAGAGGGAAACTCCAGAACATTCCTTCATACTTACTGAAATCAGCTGGTCTAACTGAATTTAAAATACAAGTTTAAGTCATACATTTGAAATGCTATAACTTATCACCTTGTTGATCAAGAGAGCTCTTGACCATTTCTGACCACAGCGCTTTTCCAGAAATTATTTTGTTAGCTGTTACAGAAACATTTCTGTGTATTGAAATATAGGCTGAAACTGTTCTTTATTGCCTTCTTATCATTGACATTTATGTCTTTGCAAGCTTTGTTTCACAACCTTTAACTACTGTATTGCTTCCTTTGACATGATAAAGTACTGAATAGCAGTAGATATAGCTGTTAACAGAACTCCATTAGAAAGAATAAATAAAGATTTGCAATAACTGGTGGTACTTTTTTTTAGTTCCTTTTAGGCAGTTCTTAATATTTTCTTAATTTGAGTGAAATTTGTGTTATGTAATGTTACTCTAATCTGTGCCAATTTCTGAATCTTTATAATATTTCCCAGAGAGATTTTAAGCATGGTAGTACTTGGTAAATGTTCATAAATTATGAGATTAATGATTTCATATATATTGAAAAGATATGCAATTGCTTACTAAATATTTATTGTCATGATTTGTATCTAATATCTAGTGCATCTAGAAGAGGAAAAACGAGCTGGTGACTAGAGATAGAAAATTAATTGCAGTTATGTTGCTTGTAGGGTTGTGCAAGTGATGACTGGTGCAGAATCTCAGGCAACATTTTAAACTATTCCATTTGAAGCACCTTTGGATTTAGTGCTGTAAAAAAGTGCATTAAGAATTTTTTTTTTTTTCAGCAGTATTTTAATCTGCACAAAATGAAGCGTCATACATCTTCATTTCTCTGTATTGGAATGTGAAGAGTTTTCTGTCTCTTCGAACCTCTTCCATCTATTAGTGTCAGAATTTAAATAATTGCTTACTTCAAATAATGAAGATGATTTTGATATTGTTTTGCAAAATTGTGTATAATAATGTGGCTGAAGTATTAAATAAATCACATAAATGAAGTGTTTGGAACATTATTAAATCTAATTCTATTTTTAATTTTGTTGCAAACAATTTAATAATGTCTGTGCTCAAGAACAAAGTTGTGAAAACGTTTTACACCATCAAAGTGACCACTTGAGATGCTGAGTAGTTCTTAATTTGTTGGTAATACAAGCTACATTTATGCTCATATGTTAAACATTGCCTGGGAATGTTACCAAGAATGTGGTTGTTTGCACTAGTAATCTGTCAAAATATTTCCTTGCACAAGTTTAGCATGTGCCAGCTACCGCTCTGCCAGACAGCTCTGGGAATGTTTCCAAAGTTAAAATGTTTCAGAAACTTTGGGCAGTTTTACAGGCAGACAGTCTGTCTTGGAGGCTGAGTTTAACAGTGTATATGTCAGACAGTTTGTGCCAGTTTGTCTTGGCGCTCAGCAGCGTACCTGGACATGGTTAATTTACTAGTGTAGACAAAGTCTTGCTGGTCTTTTGTTTTTACATATGCAACATGAAACAGATGACGGAACAGACAGCAACACAGTCAAGTCTAGGTAAGTTGCTTTAATAAACTAATTTATGGCTTCTCGCTCTATTGCAGCTGTCTCTGGCCAACCTAGTAAGACTTAATCAAGCTTTGTTCCCACCAAACCAGGAGAAAATGGAATCATTGTACCAAAATGGATTTGATGATGCTGTACATTTTTTACTGAAAGAAAACTGGTTTGAATAGATGGTACATAGAAAATTAATAAAACCTGACGGCTGTCAAAACACAGCTACAGGCATCCTACAGAATCTCAGGGATTGCTGTCCTAATTCCTGTTTATGAAAAGAAAAATCCCGCTGGAATTCCATCTACTTCTGCTGCGAAAGTATCAGTTACACTCCAAAGACCTGTATAAACACATCAGAATGGGAATTGTACTTGCCCAGTAGTTGTCTTGTTTTGAGGAGGTTCGAGTTTATCTTGAACCTCAGCATTTTGCTTCAGCTGAGGACTTGAGCATGGGATTTGTAAAAAGCTTGTGTTGTCATAATTACAGAAATTGGAAAAGTCTTTTTCAGTGTTATTTGAGAGAAAAATCGACGTTGTACCATGAAAAATTGCAATCTGTATTGTTCACTTAATGTAACAGTTGTTCATATTAATTGGATGCTTGCAGTATTGCTGATCTAACACATATCTTGCAGTTTTCTAAGGCGCTTGAACACTTAGCACTAGCCACAAGAAATTAAACATTTGCACTCTCTTATTCTGATGTATGCATTTTTTAACATTAAAAGTTCTTGCCTTTTTCAGTGAATGTGGTCTTCTAAAATATGAAATGCTAGTTTAAATTTGTAACAGAAGTGTGATGTTTGAACATAAAAATATTTTGTAAAGAAGGGTGTAAGACAGTGTTACATTAATTGTGTTTTCTTCTGCTAAAATGGAATAAATATATTTTTGTGAAACTTTTGTCAAGAGATCATTTATAAATGTATTGGAATGCTATAACAATCTGATTATCTGTAAAAAATATCAGTCAGTTGCAGAGAAGTTGAAGTGAATCAGCAGGTAATGAACTCAGACTCGTATATCTTGCTAGTTTACCATTCACCTTGCATTGACTACCTGAAGTGCAAGTTCAAGATTTTCAGTCTTAATGCCTTAGTGTTCAGGCCTTAAGTTAGGCGTAGTGCCGCAACAGTTTATTTAAAAGCAAACAGTGTTTGTTTTTTAAATGTGTTTTTTAAGTTGGTTTCTCAATACTTAAAAAAAAAAAAAAAAAAGATTAAATTGGGGATTGAATTAAACAAGTATGAAATTATGGAATTCCCCAAAACCAACAGAAAATCTATGGGGGTGAGAAATAAGATTAAAAAAAAGATCTGCTATAGCTGTTTGAAAGTTTCTTCAGCACATAACCACCAGGTTTATTTTCATATGTAGATTGAATCAGATTAGGATTCATGTGGCAGGGATTGAATTCTTTTATTACTGGTTTTGATAATGAAAGAAATAAAAAATGCCAATGTAAAGCACCTTACTTTCATTTTAGAACAGCAGCTCTTTCTAGATGGATGAGGTTCTGTATACAGTAAAAACTGGATAGCTTGCATGAGATCCAGGTCTGTAGGTCAACATTTTTGCATGTAAAACTAAAGTAAATTACCTTTGTGCTACCAAGACACCACTGCCTGGCTCACTTGCATACTCATTTATACAGAGGATGACTTTCAGCATGAATAGAAATAGTAGATAATGCCAGTGAGAAATTCTCTTCTTTTACACTGATTTACACGGCATTATTTTCAGCCAGCTATGTTTAAATCCATGTTGTTTGTGTGAAAAAAATGATATCTTGCTTGAAAAAAAGGGGTGTTTCATGATCATTTAGCATATTTGGAAAATACTTGTAAAAGGTAAATGAGGATAGTCACAGTCTCTAAGAAGCTGAAGCTGCTTTGAAGCATATAGGTTTTGTGAATACCACCTATTTTATCTCCCCCTTCCTCCAGTCCCTCCACTGTATCACCTTGAATCTATCGGATGTAAAGTTTGAAGAAAACCCCTTTTTTTCTAACCAAAGTAACATTTTCACAGTAGACATAACCTTATTAAAGGTGAATCTACTTGCTTTCTGGTTTAGTCTCCATAATTGTGTGAATTGGTCATGATTTCGTCCTGTTTATCTTTGCAAACTTCAAAGTCTTACTTCAAAAACTTCTGTGTTTAGGTCTGTATTTACTGACTTGCTATTTCAGTGTTTGAGCCTGGACAGAACTTTCATTTTAAAATCTAGTTTTAAGTGCATTTGCCGTATCTGATAAAATAGCAAATTTTTTTATTGCTCAAAATGTTCTAGAATGAAGGAAACCATATGGCTGTGGGAAATCTTGGGTTTGGTTTTGTGGCATGTTCGTGCCATTCGTGTTCACTACAGAAATGAGGGCTAACCGAGGAATGTTTGCAAAGGCAGCTTCCAGGGTAGGAAGGCTAATTAAGTATCTTTCCTTAGGTCAGCCTGTTTCATGGGAAAAGATCTGATCCCTTTTAACTAGTCTCCTAACTGTCTTCATCTGTAGTAGTAGTACTAATCCTATCCATACCCCGTCCCAGTCTTCCTATTTGGAATATATTTGTCTGCTTGCATTCCTAACCTAATCCTTTTTCTGTTTTAAATCTCTTCTACCTATAATCTTATTGGGCAATTACACCTGTACATTTTTATCAAATAAATATTTTCTGTTTAAAAGAGCAACTGTGAGAATGCTAACAACATCAGAGCATCTTAGACGTTGCTTTCTATTAACGGTAGTTGTATTCTTCAAGGAGTGAGTATTAGCCTTTCTGAATGGAGTAAGTTCAGGGGGTTTTCACCACTTTTCAAATTCTTCAGTTTTGTATGGATTTTTCCTGGCTAATTATCCTAATAGCTGAAATTTCTTGTTAGAATGTCATGAATCAGTTCTGCTGAAAAAGGATCCTAGTAACTTTGTTTACATTTCTCACAAAAGCCAAAGGTAGTATGGAGTTCTCTTTAAAACAGTCCGAAATAAATGGAGTTGAAAATCAGTTTGTGATCTCTTCTGTCAAAACAAACCACAACAAAATATATGAATTTGTAATTTTAAGAATATTCTGAGATAGATTATATTGTTCTATTAGGGGTGTTTTATGTGTAGTCCTTGTGTGGCTGAAAGCAGAACCTGCATTTGTCAGAATTTCATCTTCTGATGGACTTACTACAAATATAGGCTACATAACTTTTTAAAAAATATGTTATTAATGTCTAAAAAGGCTGAAGGAAATGAAACTTGCTAAAGCTCATACCTATTTTGTACTATGATGCTGTCAATAAGTGGTTGCAATAAAGACAATTGCAAACAATACTTACAATTTAAAAAAAAAAAAAAAGTGCCATTTCTGCTGAACTGTTACTAGCTCTGCTAGCTGTGTTGTCTGGGAAACCATTTTTTTGGTGTTTTTTTTTTTTTAAACTCTGATTTCATAAGTTCTTTTGAAAATCATTGGTACAGTCACAGTCAAATCTAGAAGATGAGATAAGATAAAGGAATATTTTGTCCTGAGATGAACATATTTTATGATAAAGCACATTGTTAATGAATCTGTTCTGATATGACTACTTCAGATTATACTATGAATATGCTAAGCTGTTTTTTTTCTTATTTAATTATTCCATGTAGAAGTATATTTAAACAGGCAAGACATACAAATGCTAAGAGATTATTAAGAATAGTTCCATAGTTTCTTCTATGCTGAAATATTTTTACTAATTTTAGGAGACTAGTCTGAGATCCTGTTGTATTCCAGAGATGTGATCTACATGATGTTGTTTTGTCTCATATGATTTAGGTGGTGTTTGGTCAGGGAGTAACTTTTTTCTCAATTTTATTTCCCCAACAAATAGACTTGTGTTTGAAAATGTAAGATGTATGTAGGCACCGTTCCTCCTCTAGGCAGATCAGTTACCACCATTTTTTTCATATGCCACAAAGTAATGGCAAATCTGAAATACATTTTTCTTAATCAGTCTTGGATAATTACAAGGGAGAGAACTTGTGCAATTGTAACTGTACTAGGGAAAGACAGAGAAGCATTAAGAAAATTGTTTTCCGTAGTTGTGGACAGCTGTGTAAGATTTCATGCCTTCCATTTTAATTATAATCTTGATACTGGTATACAGCATAACACCTACTGAGAAAATGGCAGTTTCAATGTGAGAATAGAAAAATGCTGTCAGTTTCCATATTTCCTCATTACAAACAAATTCTACAAAAGCTACCAACTATGAAAGAAAAAATGTGGAAGTACCCCAAAGAGCCATGGAAGTCTGTCTTTAAATGTTGGTATTTTCCATAATTAATGAAGTAATGGGTGACCTGCTCCTGGTTTTCTCTCTCCGACCCCTGTTCATATGTAGCTACATGTACATGTTCTGTCAGACAGCAAAAAGCCTAGTCCTGACTTAGTTTCCTTAAATTCACCTGGAACAACAGCTCAACTTTTGCCATAAGAAACAGCGAATGCAAGAGCTCGTTTCATCGGGAGAAAGCAGTGCTCACCTCTGGGAACTTGGGCCAAACCACGAGTACTGTGAAGTTGAGACCATGACTCTGGAAACTGCCCTGATATTTACTGGGAGATCTGTGGGATGAAGGGGCCACAGAAGAGCAGTGTTCTTGGTGAGCTGTGTTGCAAGGAGGTTACTGCTGCATTGCTCATGAATTGGTAATCCCGGTAATTTCGTTCCGAAGTACAGTTGTGTTGCAAGTGCAGTCCAGGAGCATCCCAACAATTAGCTTTTTTGGATGCACTGAAACTTGAGCTAGTTTTAACTTCCTACCCTGATCTACTTGGACCAAGTAACAATCTAACTGTGGATTTTTCTGTTGTCTGTTGTGGTTTGTTTTTTTGTTTTTTTGTTTGTTTCTGTTTTTTTGGTTTGTTTTTTTTTTTTTTTTTGTTTCTTTTTTTTTTTTTTTTTTACACTGTTCATTCTAGTCTAACTCAGCTTTATCATTTGTGATATTGTAATGAAATCATTTTGACTTCCTTGAGGCCTTCAACATGTGCATGTAGCATGCTGCAGGTATTTGAAAAGGAAACGCTACAGCTAGAGGGTTTTGGTATAGGCACGCCCTCTAAAAAGGCAGTCTAGACCAAGCCTTCTGTTGAAACTTCCGACTCTGCATGCTGAGGCAAATAGGATGGCTTCACCCCTTTTTCAACCTGTTGAGGATTGCTTCAGTTCTTGAAAGAAAAGAATCTTTGAACTCATTCATGCCTGGAAGATGGATAGTGGTTGGGATGATGTATTCAATTGTTTGCACTCTTGAATTTAATAATTTTCCATTTTTCAGAAGTGTAATGAATTTCTATCTGAATGTTTCAATGTCCTGTCTAAAGTATTCAGGACTAATTCAGCCTTTTATAACAGCTCTTGTTTCCCTAAAAAGACTCTGAATTCTGCTCTGAACTTCAGAGTTTTGGTCACCTTTGTTTGTGTGTGAAGACTGGAAATTAAGATCACAATAAGTACGCAACAGTTATTTTTTTTAGTTAATAGAAATAATAATTCGCTGGGACTACTAGGCTAAGCAGTAATGCTCATCATCCAGATGTAGGTATTCCATGAATGTCTGATGCCTAGACTGGTGCTTTATTCCTTCAAGATCAGTTCTTTGTGTGAACTTCAATGCCCATCCTTTCTCCTAAATCATTCTTCATATGAACATAAATTTCAATCCTTTTTCCCATCCCTTTTCCCTTCTCTAGATCCAGGAACTATATGACGTGCACTCTATTACTATATACATTTTTCTGGGGTCCAAAAATTCTATGAGGTGTTATCAGACCAGTTTTCCACACTCTAAATATATTTATAAACAATCCATCTTGAAATCGGTAATTACTGTTAAAAACCTTTCTGAGCATATATTTAAAAATTCTTAATACCAGGTGAAGTAATTAGAAGTAACTGTTTCAGTTACAATTTTCTTCTGGCGTGTCTACATGTTTCCTGTCACAGTGTATATTCAAGAGATTTGAAGGTAAACTTGAGTCCTACTTAAATGAGCAGGAGTGCTGTCTCCAGTTCCTGGAGGGCTAAGACTCAATCCTTCATATATTAGGTCGTGAACTTGAGGTTCTTTTTTTGAGTCACGTGGAACTGAAGATAATCACATGGTCCAGAGGGACCCGGACAGGCTGAAGAATTGGGCTGAGGAGAATGCCATCAAGTTCAGCAAAGGGACATGCAAAGTCCTTCATCTGCTTTGCACAGAAGGAGCTGTGGTACTGGGGACAACAAACAGGCAATGAGCCAGCGATGAGGCTTCACGGCAAAGAAGGCCAACAGCCTCCTGGTCTGTGCGAGGCAGAGCATTGCCAGCAGTTTGAAGGGACTTATCCTTCCCCTCTACTCTGCAGTGGATAGACCACATCTGCAGTGCTTGGTCCAGTTCTGGGTTCCCCAGTACAAGAAAGTTACGGACTTACAGGAGCAAGTCCACTACAGGCCCACAGAGATAATTAAGGACTGAAGCATCTGACAAACGAGAGGCTGAGCGAGCTGGAACTATGTAGCCTGGAGAAGAGAAGGCTCAGGGGGATCTTATCAATTTGTATGGGAAGGAATGAGGAAGACAGAGCCAGGCTTATTTCAGTAGTGCCCAGTGACAGGACCAGAGTCAATGGGCACAACCTGAAACACAGGAGGGTCCACCTGAACGTCAGGAAATACTTTACTGTGAGACTGACTAATGACTGGGATGGGTTGCTCAGAGAGGTTGTGGAGTCTTCCTTGTGGATATTCAAAAGCCATCTGGATATGGTCCTGTGCAACTGGCTCGATCTTACCCTGATTGAGTAGGGGAATTAGAACGCGTGATCTCCAGAGGTCCCCTCGAACCAGTGGTTCTGTAATTCTTTGACTTACTGTAGGATCAGCATTTCATATAAATATTAACTTTTTTAACAGTGTATACTTTATTACAAACAGGTATAAGTGGAAAAAAGTGATATTTCATATGCCTAATATTAAGAAGTGTTTGTGTTCCAAACTCATTCTAAATTCAGTCCTGATGTTTCATTCTGTGCTAAGCGGCCATAAAAATCCGTGACCTTGCTGACTGCAATATAACAGATAATGTCTTTTCACTATCCTTGTGCTGTTTGTGGTAGATGATGGAACATATTACCTATTACTTGTTTTCAGTCCCCCAGAACTTTCTGAATATTTAACCTTTCAGGCTGGAAGTTTATGTCCAACTTCTTTGGAAACACTATGTAGAAAATAGCTCAGCTGTTTCAGAGAAACGTGAAAAAGTGCAGAAATCACGTTGGCCTTCATTTGAAAGGCCATTGATCTGAAGTGGAGGCAGTGTTATAAAGTGGAAAGAAAACAGCCCCATTCGAGTGCATGAGTTATCTGAATGAGATGCTTTTTAAATGCACCTTCTATTTATGTCTGCTAGACTAGGTATGATTTCTTGTCATTTTTGCCAAAATGCCAGAGCGGGAAGGTTTTACTGAATGCGTTGACCTTTTTGTGCTGGTACTTGAAGGTGACTTTGGTTCAGTGAATGCTGCCTTCCCTTTTTCTCTTCACAAAACTGCATCCTTGGCTCAGATGGGCATCACACCTTGCATTTTAAAGGATGGAATGGCTGTTACTCTCTCCTCTAAAGCTCCATGTTAAATGTATAAACATTCCCTGTATTTACCCCTTAATATTTAACCCAACTTACAATTTTAATTTTAAAATTAAGAGTTAAACATATACACAACAAGGATTTTAATCTTAAAAGATTCTTAAAATAGGAAATTTGAAGTACTTCTGAGGAAATAGTTTCACTGGAAAAGAAATGAATTACATATTTACATCCACAATTAGAATGTGATTTACTGTCTCTGGAAACCTAAATGTGTATGACTGCAGCTGCAGTCAGTTCCCATTCTAGGTAGAGGAGGAGGGAAGACCATTGTTTAATTCCCACTGTCTAACTAAAAAAATAAAAAAAAAAAAGGATCCTTCATGATTGTCTTCCCCCTCTTCAAATGCTCAAGCACAGTCTGTCTGTCCCTTTGAAAGTCACATTTCACTTTTTCTATGTTTATTAGCCATCACTTTCACCAAAAGGAATCAAATGCTCAGATCAAATTCTTAAATGAAAGTTATTTGGCATCGTTACTGATAGAATAAGGAAATATTTTAGAAAAAGAGGCCAGTGATGAAGCTGAATCCAGCTAGCAGTGTATCCACTTCTTAATGTCCAGGCCTGAGTGTCAACTATATGACTGGCTGCCCCCTTTTGAGTGAACAGAGTTCACTCAATTTATAACTGCTGCACAATTAATGTATAGGACTGTAGGGTCTGTCATTTTATTCTATGAACTGTTTCCTTTCACATAATATATTTTCAGTGTTAAGCAAATTTGAAACACAATATTCAGCTTGAAATATTTGACTGGGCAAAAAAAAGAAAAAAAAATAATTTTCAACATTTTAAATATTTTGTCAAAGTATTTAATATAACTCTACCAAGGCAGCAGTTCCTCAAGTACTTCATTACAATGCATTACAGTGCAAATTATGATAAGCTCTTTCTATGCAGCTTAGTTCTATTGTTGTTATTGACATAAATTCCACAAGTATTCTAAGTACTTTAAAGCAAGTTTAAAAGACACTTTTTAAAATCCAAATAGGTTATGTTACAGTCTTAGGTATGGCACATCACAGTGAGGATAAGCCCTATAGCAGTAAACTCTTATCTATCTAGCCTATCTACGTGCCAAGGTGATTTCAGTAATCAATGTTACTTCAGAAAGCATGTTACAACTTTTAAAAACACATGAAGTATTTTTGTTCTATTGAGAGGTGCATGTATCCAATATGCATTACGTGAGTGACATAACTAAAAGTGGAAGGATTTGCAGGGATTTGTAAATGTGGGGGATGCGTAAGGAGTTAGAAACAAGATCCAACAGTGCGCTGGGGAGCATGTGAGGAATTCTGCACTGACAAACTCTTCTTTAAATCTGTCATTACAGTGGACAGATACTGCATTACAGAATTACATTTGTAAAGCAAAGAAGCTGTCTTAATCGGTGTAAAAACAAAATTTCAACTGTGTTCTTATGTATGAAGTAGAAAAAAAAAACGTGTGGTGAGATTTTATGGCATTGAGAAGAGGTTTGAATACCTTTAGATTTTACAGCATTTTGATGATAGTTACATATACTAAAGCTCATTTCATCTGTAGTTGCATGGAGTGGTAGCTTCTTTAGTTTGAAATAAATACACGATAAAGCCTGAACAAAATATATTCCAAGTTAATAAAGTGATTTGTGTGTATGTTTCTTTTATACCTTGATAGAAGTAGTACACATCACAGATGCTCATATCATAGTTACAAATGCATGGACCTTGTTTTTCATGTCATTTTCCTTCCAATGTCACTGAAAGTTCTTATTAGTGACATGTCTTCATATTCTTGATTAAACCCATTATTAACTGGTTTGGATGGCCGGTCATAAATCCATTCACTTGGCAGGGTGGCACTGCTATCTGTATTTCTTGACTCATTCTTGCACTTTTTACAGCACTGGTGAATCTGTTGTAATATGCCACAAAATATATTGTTAAGCAGTAAAAACGTTTCCATCAGATACCCTGTCTTTTCAGAGAACATGTTCTGAGCTTTACTGTGATAACAACCCAGTGTTTATCCTGAATTGTTTCCAAAGTTGTTATGCAGGGCACAGTTGAAACAAACCATGGAAATACTAATTTTAACTACACCTTCATGAATTGACAGATTATTCACTATTATTAATAAATGTTAGTAGTATGTTAGATAAAATACTAACACCTAAGTAGTTATGGGTTTATAGCTTATCTGGTTCTAACTTGATAAACAAGTGGAATATGGTCAGACATGGACTATTATGTTATAGCAGAACAATTATGCTATGATTTGGTTTAAAACAAGAGTAAGAACTAATATTAAGCAGCATAAAATTAATTTATTTCAGTGAATTAGCCTTCTAATATGCTGAATTCTAAACCTTTACAGGTTGCTTCATGTTGTACTCAAGAAATAGGCAGAAATTAGGTCTGATTGTATATCAGTGATTTCATTTAATACTTTTCCAGTTCCCAGTGCTATATTTGAAGATGCATGTATGCTGTCATTTTAGAAAAAAAAACAGAGCATGGGAGTTGGGGGAGAGACTTTTTCATTCATTCTTCTTACAAAGCATAAGCAATTTTTTTTGGAGAATGGATGAGATGGGTATCATCTTCTTTGGGGAATAATCCCCGAGTGACAGGTATAATGGCTTCTCCATAAAACAGACCCAGTTGTCTCACAGAAGTTGTTGGGCTAGCACAGTGCTGTGCCCTAGTCTGGATTTGGAAGCACAGGAAAAGTTTGGCAGAGGTAAGAAGCAAGGGAACAGCTGAGAGGACTTTAGACTCAGAAAAGGTAGGTCAGACCTCTTCCTGAGGTTAACAGCTCGGTACAGAAGCTCCCTGAGGGACTTAACCAGTCATGACACGCTGTATGTAAGCAGCAGCCTGTAAAAGCCAAAGGGCCTTTGAGTCTTCTGGTCCCTCTTTCATTAGTTTACACTCTGATTTTGACACAGTGTACATTTTCATGATGGGAAACATTTGTCATTTAGGAAAGAAATGACTTTTAAGAAGTTATAAACTTCCTAAATTTTTAAATTTCAGTGTTGGTCTTTTTAGTTTGTGTGGTGTGTTGACCCTGGCCAGCAGCTGAGCACCCATAGAACTACTCGTTCACTCTCTCCTCCCTCTCCAGTGGGACAGGGGAGAGAATAGGAAGAACAAAAGCAAAACAGCTCATGAGTCAAAATATGCCAATTTAATAGGTGAAGTGGGAAAAGAAGAAACCCCCCAGAAAGACAAGTGATGCAGAGGAAATCACTCGCCACCTCCATCCGGAGGATCAATGCCCAGACAGTTTCTGAGCAATGGTCACCTTGGAAGCAAAAAACCCCTTTGGTCATCTTCTCCTCTCCCAGCTTTTATTGCTGAGCATATTATATGGTATGGGATGTTCCTTTGGTTAGCTGTGGTCAGCTCTCCCTGCCGTGTCGCCTCCCAGCCTCTTGCCCACCCCCAGTCTCCTCACTGGGCAGCAGCGTGAGAAAACCAGAAAACCTTGATGCTATTCAGGTACTGTGCAGCCAAAAAAATGGTGTGTTATCAACACTTGACCACAAATCCAAAACAAGGCACCATACAGGCTTTTCTGAGGAAAGTTAAACTGTCCCAGCCAGAAGCAGTGGAGTTTGCTACTGCTTACTAATTGTGCTCACAGTGACTCATTTTAGGAGAGTCTAGGTTAGCTCACTTTGTATATTCAGATGTGAAATGGCTTTTGGCGGGTTTCTGCTGCTATTGTATTTTAGCAAGGTTTGGCTGTTTACCACATCTTTCTCTGGCACAAGTTTACTGTCTCCCTCAATACACATACCTTGTCTCCTACTGTCTGAACTGTGTGAACACTTCTGTTTTGGATGTGGCTTTGAGGCAACCATACTCAATAACTGGTTGTTAAAGAAAACAAAACCCAAAATTTGACTGACCTAGAAGGGCAATCCAATACTGTAAATATCTTTGTAAGTTTTGTAAATTATGTTGCTGGTGCTGAGTCTTATGTAATAATGAAGTTCTTGGCTGCGCAGTGATATGAGCAGAGAGGGAGCTGTTTCCACCATGACAGGTTCAGGGACACTTAAGTAGCCCCTTTAAAATACAGAAGTTGAGAAGGAGAGAACAAGGTGAAGGAATTCACCTTCAATCAGGACTTAGATACCCGAAAGATCCTTCTTTCTGAACTTAAAATAACCATCATTTTAAAACCGCATTAAGTCCTCGAGAGATAAGTTTTCTTCCCCTAAGACTGTTAAGTTTGGTACCTATTCCCTTTTGGTCCAATTTGACCACATTTGTTAACTTTCAAGGGACTCTACAATATTAGTTTTGAGGAGGGATGTTGGTGAAATACAAAGAATCTTTTAGGTCTATAAATGATAATCTTTGAACTACACTTGCAAGCAAGGACCTTATAAATGTAAGTAGAACACGTTGTACTGTTGCGGATGAAGCGTGAGTGTAGCGCCGTCCATGCCTTCAAAGACTGTGATGCTCATTTGCATCAAATTATAGTATAGCTCAGATTTCTTCAGTTCATATTTATTTCCTTCCAAATGGTTTCATTTACATAAAGGATATTCCCAATTGGGATCAAAGTAGAGCTATTAATTAACAGCTGGATTTTTAGGTTTTGTTCCACAAAAAATAATCGATTAAAATGATTATGAATTTTTTCCTGGCGTGGGGAACAAATCCACAACTAGGAAGGAGGGAAAGATTTTTAAAATATGGGAAGCATAAAAAATCACCCTGGGCTTAGACAATTTTGTATCCAAAAAAATGTTTTCTCCCTCTCTTGCAAAATATCTTTAAGTTTTCAAGTTGCCGGAGTGCTGGACTGTTTGCCAGATAAATGGCAGGCAGTGGCCTGTACCAACTAGTGTGTAGGAGTGGGCGCAAAACCCTGGCATGACTGGTTGGTTGGCCAGAACATGAGTAAGACAAAAGATAAGCAGACATTGATGAGTGTGCAGGGGAGCTCATGAAATTAGGAGCTGGAGCCCAGAAGCATGGAGGGAACAGGAAATGTTTCAAACTGCTAATCATTTAGGGGATTTTTTTTCTCATTTTCCTTTGTTTTCAGGTAAAAGGAACAAGAACAGCCAGCAATGCAGAAAATAGCTTCCTGTCAGGCTCAGAAAAAAAAAAAAAACAAACAGATATAATTTCTCTGTATGTCACAGCTTCCTTTTTTTTCATGGCAGTACCCTGAAAACTTTCACAGACAGCGGGTTGTACCTCCAATACTTTAGTTAACAGAAAACAGAATGACTTTTTACTTTTCCACAGATACATATGCAGGCTAATCTTTTTATAATTTATTTCTGTCAGAAGATGTCACCCATCTTTAGGTTTGTAGCATTTATTTCTGAAGTTATTACTTACACTGAAAGCTATGATAACTGTAGTGGCAAAGATGGTGTATCCAAGAAGAAGGAACCAGCCCCACCAGGTCTTATCTGATTTTACGCAGTCTTTGCATTTGAAATCTGAAAAAAAAAAAAAAAAAAAAAAAAAAAAAAAGAAAAATAAGTATTTAGAAAAAACAGAAAGTTGCTTTTCTTGTAAGATTTAATTTGAAGGATCAGTCAGGATTGACCAGGCAGCACAGCCATTTTTATCATATTTTCCTTCATTGTTTTTTCAGGCTAAAATTTTAAGCTTATTGTGAGAGAACTGTTATCTTCCTTTTCCTTCAGACATGAGATTTTTGAAGCTGTTGTAAGCTATTTATGTAATGGATAATAAACTAAAGCCTGTTTACTAAAAGTGGTGTATCTGAAAATATCTTTGTTATGCAGAACACCCTTAGGTAATGATGAAAAAGCGAGTCTAAATGACAGTTATCTTACTAAGTCTCAGAAACTTATTATTTTTTAAAATAAAATTGAACGAAATCGAACATATGCTTATGGTGCAATAGTCAAAAGAATTTAGTTGGTCACTGTGTTTTTTTACGGACTTGGAATAATTGGACAATTGTTAAACATAATGTGAATTTCAGAATGCGGCGCTTTGTGGCATTTAGCATTTGCTAGTCAAATTAGTCTGCAAAGTCCACATGGACAACACTTGGCTTACCTGAAATAGTGTATCTTGGTCACTGAGGTCACATCCCCAGCAGGACTATGGAAATTGGATTCTTAATTTGAGGATAGGGGAACAATTATAAGATTCTGAAAATGATTTTCATTCCTACATATCCCTACTTTCATGTACATGCTTTCTAAAACAGCTCATAGTGCTGTGTGAATTTACTGTTAATTTTTTAGTAACTGGAAGAGGAAGATCAAACTACATATTTCAAGAGACCATTGGTTTATAAAGAGTGAAGTAAACTATAAAAAAAGTAATGAAAGATTGTCAGGGATTTGTTGTTTGTTTTTTCTGTTTGTTTTGGTATGGATTAAAGTAAAGATCCAGCAAAGGTTTGTGAAGAACACTAAGAAAAAGAAAATATGTATATATATATATATATATATATATGTACATATATATATACATACACACACACACATAAGTATATATAAAATAATGCTATAAATGTAAATGTATAAAATATTTAGAATATATAATATACAGAATCGGTGTTCTACTGCACACTGAGCTGGTTTAGATCCAAAGAAAGTCTCTGTCCCTGAGAAGTCAGTCTGTCCAGCTGTATAAATAAATCAGAGAAGAGGTGTGCATTTCCTTCCCTACTCGTGTGATTGTAGACTGTTTTTTCCCACCCGTCTTCCAGCAGAGGTGAGTGTTGAGGGGAGCAGGCAGTAAGGCTGAAGGGAAATCTAATTCCCCTCGCCCACGTCGAGTCCGTTCCTGCCGCTGCTAAACGCTCCTTACCATGCACAGTCAGCCTGGTGCCGTTTCCACGTTTGCCCTGGATTTTATGCGTTAGAGTCACGTCACAGAAATAGGAGTTACTGGCATTCTGGTCAACGTTGCTCAGTTTTAAGATGGAAAATCCCCTGAGGGTGTCCTTTGTAATGTGCACCTGAGGCCTGCCCGCACCCGGGCTCGGCTGGAGGCTCTGCTGGCTGCGGCAGTCGGGGCCTTTCCTCCAGTACACCACTGGCTCCTCGTTCTCCTCGCTGGGGTACTCAAATACGCACAGCATCCACACCGTGGAGTTAAGGAGCACGCTGGCATCTTCAGGGTACTGCATGACCGAAAGCTCTGGCCCGCTGCTGGCTGTGAGGTATGAATAAAGGACATTCAGGTAAATAGAGGTTATGCTCTCTCGGGAAGGGTTGTCTCGGCCAGATGAATACGTGGGCATGGCCGATACCTGGACGTACAGCCAGCCACGGCTGCAGGCACGTATAGTCAAAGGTGCACTTGAGTGAGGCAAACAACGGTTTTTGCTACTACCTCCTGCGAAAGCAACGCTGCAGCCAGTGCTCAAAAGACAGTCATTAGATTTGCCTAAAAATCATGTGTCAAATAAATTACATGTAGGGTGTAAGAACTGCAAGCCCAGGCAGTGACAAAGTTGGAGTTGCAAACAGAGCAGAGGACTGGATCAAATCTGCTTACAGTTACTGTTATTCTTAAACTTTTGGGATGCCTTCATAACAAAGCTTTGGTCTGGGAAACTTCAGACAAGATTTTCAACTTGTAGAAAATTCTAGAAAATATACACTTTTACAAACTTACAATGTTGTTCTGCTAGTGTCTGCACATGATCTAAATACTATATTTCCTACAGTTTCTGGCTCAAATTTTATTGCCTCTGTAAAAGTTTGTCAGATACATTATTTATGCAATTAATATGCTATTAATAATGGCTTGATAGTAATTGAACATATTAATTTTGTCCTAGTATTTCAATGCATCTTTATTTAAATATTTGCATGCCCTTTGTTATGGGAAAGAATACTGGAACACGAGAAAACACAATTACAGCTAAACACAATGGCAATGAATACTTCAGGAAAAAAAATTATGCTTTCTATTAAACTAAGTGTAAGAATTATTAAAATTTGCTTAGAATCACTGCTTGGAATATTTTCTATGCAATCTCAATCAATCTTCAATTTCTGTAATTTTTCATCTTTAGTAGTTTCTGACATCACATCCCAGAGTCTTTGGGTATTTTTTTGATTTTACAGGTAAAGACCTGTATGGATGCTATGTGCACATAAACTAACTGTATACAGTTAATGCAGAAGTACGATGAATCCATAGATAATGGATATTTTGAGAGAAAATTCTTGCACATATACAGGCAACAGTGAACAAAATGACTAGGAGCATGCCTGAAGTAAATCTGTTACTGTCGTTTGAACAGTTAAAAGGAAAAAAAAAAAAAAAAAAAAAGCAAAATAGCACCTTGGACAATACAGTACACCTCAAGAAACAAATCTGATATTAATAACAAAGGTTCCAAATGGCTAAATTGATAATGCATTAGACATTCCCTCTTTAGAAGCAATCACTAGCCAGTCTAAAAGTTGTCAGACTACAGTGTCTGCATTTCTTCCCTCTCCACAGGCATGATGGCATGAGACAAATCCTGGAGGTCACTGAAATGCACTTTACTTAGGCAATCCTCAACTAGCAAATCGTTTAAAGGGGCTATCCCAGGCAGCATAGTGATGAACTCTTACAGTGAGTAACAAAATGATCCCTGGCTTGACACTCATTTCAGGTCACATCTCACTCTTTTTAGCATGTTACATGACTAAACTTCATCTGCATTTGAGTTTTGAGATTTTAACTAAGAAATCATGTGAGATTATTCTACTTTAAACTCAGTTACTTATGCTTTAAATATCCACATTTAAATACCTATACTTAACCATACACTTTGTAGTCAATAAACAGAAATAGTAACTCAAAGGCAAGATTAATTTATCCCACAATAAAGATTTAAGCAGATGAAATGTTGAGGGGATTTTTGACTATAAAAGCACCTATTTCTCACATAGAATAATGAGTTCAGCTAAAGACATTAAAATTTCTGTAAAATGAATTTTATTTTCCAACTCAGGACATAAGATGATTTCCATCACCAGTGTTCTTGTATTTATGGAATTGCTTTCAAATTAAACAGAGTTTGTCTTTTAAGTTTTACATCTGCATTTTTATATGAAATATAAAAAATTAGAAATTCATTACTAAGAACAAACAAAACATGCTTTTAAAAATATCAGAACAAATGAAAAAAATACCCAAGAAAAAGAACTCCCTACTTACCTGCAAAGTGAGAGAAGTAAGATATTGTAATTAGTAGACCAAGACACATCATTTTCTTGGAATTGCTAATGTAGAGATTTTGAGACCTCAGCCAAGACTACTGATATCACAGCTTTCAGCAAATAATTGAAAAGTAAATTAAAGCTCTCCTAAAAACATGTTTTTAAACTTGTTTCTAAGGGGAGGTTCTTGTGGTTTCATTCACTGTAACTATTTCCTCTTCTACCATCTCACATCCTGGACATTGCAACATATCAGCTTCTGATACCATAGTTTTGAATTGAACTCCACTGGGACTATTCTTCCATTCTGAGCATTTTCTCCAGATGACTAGAAGGAGGATCAGGTTCGTATGGCAAATTTACTCAAAGCTGCTCATCTGACAAAAAAAAAATATTAAAAAGCCCTGGCTGGGAACAATGGTTCTGATTTAATATAGCAAAGTTTTCAACAGACACCCAACTCTGATACTCTTTCTCAAAGTCCCATTTGTGCCTTAAACACCACATAGATGAAGATGATTTTCCTTTATCTAGTGTTGGTTCAACTAGATAAATCAAATATACCAGAAGAATGCTTCAGAAGAGACATTACTTCATGATACTGAATGTCTAATTATCATCCTGCAGTGCAGCATACATGAACATTAGCTGCTGAAAACTATAACATGGCAATGAGGGAAATGTAGTTATCCTCCTAATGCATATCTTCTGAATTTACAGGTGCCCATTGGATTAGCTAATGTCCTCGTAGCCCCTTGTATAGACCATTACATTTTATCCAGCAAAGTTACCCCTAGGCTTAACTAAAACTTATTTTCATCCAGCTACACTGCCTAAAGATTTGAATGTCTGGGTTTGACTAAGAGATAACTTCCATGGTAATATCCAGTTTTGATCTGAAGGCTTTGAGAGATACAGTCTGCCAACTGAATGGTTAGCTGCCGCGATGACTAATCACCATCACTGTGAAAGGCTGTGTTTTCATCTGTATTCTGATCTCTGTCTTCAGCTGCTCATCACTGAAACAGCTTTGACACCTCTTCCAGAGCCCTTTAAAATTAAAAAAGAAAAAAGAAAATTAAAAAAAAGGAAGGTACTAAAGATGGTACTTTTATATTATCTAGGATAATCTCTCGATATTCTTTTTCAGAAAAAAACAATATGCATGCAAGTCTCCTGCTGTACGACATCTCCAGCCTGGAATAAGGTATCTGATTCTGTTTCTTATGACTAGTGTGCTTTAAATCTGGACTCCTTAAACCCCCTTTATTCAGGGTTAAAATCAAAAACTTACTCTTCTACCCCTCTGTCTTGTTTACAGAAACAAGGGTATTCTTCCACACAGTACTACTTGGATGTCACTGTCTGCTGATTTCCTACTTGAAATGTTCTGTATGTTGTTAGAGTCACTGCTTTCTAAAGAGGTACAGGTATTCCACACATTCCTTAAATATCACTAAGGCTACAACAAAACCTCCCAACTTTCCTGTAGATGCTATTTAATGACATCTCCTCAGTGATAGCTTTTAGAGAGGTTTGCTGAACTGATTTTAAATCACTGTATACTCTAATAATTTTAAGTATTTGTATTATGTCTTAAAGAACTCCATTCTCTTAATTCAAAGGCACATCTCAAAAAAACACTCCACGTTTGTGTTACCTCATTTTGTTATCAGCAGATAAACAAATGTATTTATTTTTACCAACATCTGAACATAAGAATATCTAATTGGATATGATTCTTATTGATTACAGCTGATACTAATCAGGTTGAAGAGCTAAACAAAAAAATTGCAAAACTCTTCTAATTTCCTGTTTATATACAGTAATTCCTCAGATAACACTCTTTTTTTATCTATAACATTTTGAACAACAGTGATAAACACTCTTTAAGATACTGACTTGAATAAGAAATAATTGATTCAGAGAAAACTGATCAAAGACAAGCACAAGTAATTTAATGCAGCTGGTCTGGGATTCACATGTGCGCTTAAGCAGCTATTCAGAAGCAAACAAATGGTGGTGTGTTTTTTTTCCTGAAAATTAATTTAATTAAACAGTGTTGTGTTTTGGGCCTGATCGGCAACCAACTACGTCAGCTGGTCACCCTCCTTTCCCCCTCCCCACCTGGGAATGGGGGAGGTGATTAGAGGGGTGAAGGGAGACTCGCAGGCTGAGATAAGAACAGTTTAATAATGGCAATAAAACGAAAACAATAACGATGATGGGGGGAAAACAAAAAGAAATATATAAACAGGCAATGTACAGCGTATATAAACAGGCAATGTACCTGCTGACCAATACCCAGCCCGTTCCCGGCCAGCGACCCCGAGATACCAAGATCCCACAATCGCAATCCCGGAAGCGAGAGAACCTTCCCAATCCCCCTCCTCTATACAGTGAGCATGACGTTCCATGATATGGAATATTTCACTGGCCAGTTTGGGTCTGGTGCTGTGGCCGTGCTCCCTCCCTGCTCCCTGTGCCCTTGCGCATGGGCAGGACATGGGGAGTCAGAGAGTCCTTGACGTCTCGGTAGCAGCTGAAAACATCAGTGTGCTATCAGCATTCTTCCCATACCAAACCCAAAGCTAAATCCAAAACACAGCACTCATCTAGTCCCTGAAAAGGAATATTAACTCTATTTCAGCCCAAACTAAGACAAACAGGTAGCAATAGAACTATTCTGTACTCCAGCTCAGTGTTTATCTTGGTATCTTGATCCAATTAATTTGCATCAGCTAAAGTTTAACCTAATTTTAATAATATGTGATTACAATAGTGCTGAACTATACTACTAAGTAGAAATTCAGGCTGTAAATAAGCATTGGTTTATTGGCTGAGTATTCAGCAAACAGAAACGCTTGCCTGCAGTTTTAACTAAACTCTCAAAAATTGCTGTATTAATTGCCTTGAAACTTATTTTTTAAGCTTATAAGAGTCAAAAACTATATATAATCTTTCTGAAATACTAGAGAAAATTGCTAATGAGCTGAAATCCTGCCAGAGCTTTGAGTTTAAGCTAACCAGAAGATTTAATGTTCATCCTTAATGATAATCCTGTACTTAACTTTTTTTCTATTCATTAAAGATGTTTGAGAAGGAACTATGTCCCATAGGAGTGATGTGCATGTGGCATAACAACTTTCAAGAGAAAATCGATGACTTAGCTAGTACTAGTAGATGACTTAGACTAGTACTTCTGTATGTGAGTGAAACTTGCGACCAAGAAAACATGATGAAAGAGTTGAAATAATGAAGAGTTTAAATAAGGTGAAATATAAAAATGCTCTTTTTTGGCACAGAATAGGAAATATTAAAATGATGTTCCATAAAAAGTGCTTTTACTCTCTAGCACTGGTGAGATATTTATTTTGAAATATTTTATATTCTTCCTGTGCATGGAATGGCTGACTGACTGAGAAGAACTTTAAGGTTTGAAACTTAAGACAAGTTAACTCTTTAAGACTTCTAACTCTTAAAATGAAGTGCGTAGCTTTGAGATAATTAAGGATTAAGGGGATCGATGTGTAGATCTATTTCAGGACCATCTCCTGGTGATGAAACTAAGAATCAGCTCTATGAAAATATTAGTGAGATACAAATATATAAGTATGATCACATTTAGATTTTCTGTCAGTCCTACGTGGTTTCTCATTAATGCCTTCAGCTATAATTTCAGGGAATTTAGAAATCTGAGTCTGATTAACTGAAAAGTATCTTTTTAATTTTCTGCTGAAGTAAGGATTATATATAGGACTATAACAATGGCAATACCTATTAAAAAGACCTTCATTTCATCTGATTATTGTCTTTCCATAAGACTTGAAAAAAAGATGTGTGGATTTAATGAATAGGGTGGAGCTCCACCAACAGCGTTATTTTCTACTATTCTAAGACTTGTGTGAATAGTGAGAGTTAGGAGTATAACTGAATGGCTGCCTCACTGCTCTGTGGTTGCAATCTAGAGGAGTGGCATAGTTAAGTAATGCCTAAATGAAAAAAAAAAATACACAATCTTTTTTGCAAAGGTATAATGGTATCACCAAGAGATGAGAAAATAAATTTTGTGCCAATTTCCAACTGAAGCAATGAAAAAGGATAACAAGACATGAGGGAAGGACCAAACAATCTCAGTCAGTAATGTCTCTTCACCAAACCTTATTTGGAGGTATTTGTCCATGAGAAGCATTTAAGCATTTCATGAGGGCTGTAAAGCTGGAGATGAATGTGGCTGTGTGAAATAACACAGTGCCTTACAGTTTGACAGTTACCCCAGAATACCTACTTTACAATACAGAGCAGCTCAAATTAGGCATCTCCTTAGCATATTTTAAACAAGTAGCATAACTTGCATTCAGTTTATTGTTTACATTTATTGATCACAAATTTAAAGTCCAACAAAGCAGTCAGACAGTATAAAAGCTTCCTAATGGTAAAGAACAGCAGACCTCTGGAACAGCTTCACTGGGAGGGCTGAAGACCTTTGAGAGAGATATCTTACAAGCATGTGTGAAGAATGACACAGACGTAGTGGGTCCTGCACTGGCCAGTGATGAAGGATATGATTCATTGATGACTAGCGCATATGGTCTCAGGATTTCTGTGTTTTGTAGTCAGCTGTACAAGGTGTGAGAGGGTTGCCATAATAGCACAGACTGAGAGAAACTACCTGACCTCTGAAGCTGCTTTATTTCCAGTGACTGTTCCTGAAAACTTCAGAGAAAATCTGCAGGTTCCCCAGTTAATGCAGACTATGTAAACTCCTGCTGGGTGTCTGTGTAACGATGCATAGTTTAGCCTAGTAGACAGTTAAAGGCACTGCAGGATCCTTTCTAATGATAACCAGAACAAAATAGGAGTAAAAACTAAATTCAGAAGGGTAAAATAAATACTTTAATGGTACCCTACATTCACAATTAGGAGAGAAACTGGCTGAAATCACAGGTGAAATATGGAAAGAGTATGTAGTCTCATTTGACCAAACTCATAAGCTTAGTTTAATTATTTAGCAGTTACTAATTCTTATAACTAAGAGAGGAAATTCAGTCAATACCAGAACATTCACCATGTGTATACATTTATTTTACTAACCACTATGAATGAAAAGTGCCATTAATCATTTGAAATCTGGAGACCAAATTTATGCAGTGTTCCTTTCAATAAGCAGATACGGACAGAGATGCCAACGGTGCATGTCAGTACAAGATCTACAGCTTGCAAATTGGAGTTAGAACAAACTGTTTATGTTTTTACTAATATATAAAAAACTTACTAATATATAAAA